ATGATGGAAAAGCCTGAGTTCATAGTTCAAATGCATAGGATGTTTACATGTTAGAATAAATCTACTCATAAACCAACTTCCTGCTATTTTTCACCTCTTCAAAACCTCTTCGCCCCTGAGCTGAAATGTCACATTTATATATTCTGTGTCCTCATTTTTTTTAATTGTTTTAAAGGTCACCTATTATGCAAAATCCACTTCTTCATGTCTCTTCTACATCAACATGTGTCCCCTCTTCTTCATGTCTCTTCTTCATCAACATGTGTTCCTCTTGCTTCATGTCCTCTTCTACATCAACATGTGTCCCCTCTTCCTCATGTCTCTTCTACATCAACAGTAGTTCCCTCTTCTTCCACATGTCTCTTCTACAAATCAAAAACATGTGTCCCCTCTTCTTCATGTCTCTTCTTACATCAAATGTGTCCCCTCTTCTTCATTGTCTCTTCTTACATCAACATGTGTCCCCTCTTCTCCATGTCTCTTCTACATCAACATGTGTCCCCCTCTTCTTCATGTCTCTTCTACATCAACATGTGTCCCTCTTCTTCATGTCCTCTTCTACATCAACATGTGTCCCCTCTTCTCCATGTCTCTTCTACATCAACATGTGTCCCCTCTTCTTCATGTCTCTTCTACATCAACATGTGTCCCCTCTTCTTCATGTCTCTTCTACATCAACATGTGTCCCCTCTTCTCATGTCTCTTCTACATCAACATGTGTCCCCTCTTCTCCATGTCTCTTCTTCATCAACATGTGTCCCTCTTCTTCATTGTCTCTTCTTCATCAAACATGTGTCCCCTCTTCTTCAGGTCTCTTCCTACATCAACATGTGTCCCCTCTTCTTCATGTCTCTTCTACATCAACATGTGTCCCCATCTTCTTCATGTCTCTTCTACATCAACATGTGTCCCCTCTTCTTCATGTCTCTTCTTCATCAACATGTGTCCCCTCTTCTTCATGTCTCTTCTTCATCAACATGTGTCCCCTCTTCTTCATGTCTCTTCTACATCAACATGTGTCCCCTCTTCTTCACGTCTCTTCTACATCAACATGTGTCCCCTCTTCTTCATGTCTCTTCTACATCAAACATGTGTCCCCTCTTCTTCATGTCTCTTCTACATCAACATGTGTCCCCTCTTCTTCATGTCTCTTCTTCATCAACATGTGTCCCCTCTTCTTCATGTCTCTTCTTCATCAACATGTGTCCCCTCGTCTTCATGTCTCTTCTTCATCAACATGTGTCCCCTCTTCTTCATGTCTCTTCTACATCAACATGTGTCCCCTCTTCTTCATGTCTCTTCTACATCAACATGTGTCCCCTCTTCTCCATGTCTCTTCTACATCAACATGTGTCCCCTCTTCTTCATGTCTCTTCTACATCACATGTGTCCCCTCTTCTCCATGTCTCTTCTACATCAACATGTGTCCCCTCTTCTTCATGTCTCTTCTACATCAACATGTGTCCCCTCTTCTCCATGTCTCTTCTACATCAACATGTGTCCCCTCTTCTTCATGTCTCTTCTACATCAACATGTGTCCCCTCTTCTTCATGTCTCTTCTACATCAACATGTGTCCCCTCTTCTTCATGTCTCTTCTACATCAACATGTGTCCCCTCTTCTTCATGTCTCTTCTACATCAACATGTGTCCCCTCTTCTTCATGTCTCTTCTTCATCAACATGTGTCCCCTCTTCTTCATGTCTCTTCTTCATCAACATGTGTCCCCTCTTCTTCATGTCTCTTCTACATCAACATGTGTCCCCTCTGTGGAAAGAGACTCTGAAAGTTTCAGGAATAAAAACCTGTCTGAAAATGAGCTGATCAGATTTTGGCCACTTTATGATGTCATAACGATGTTTTGTCTTGTGTAACCATTAGCCAATCAGCAACCAAGGTAAACCCCCCCCCCCCCCCTTATCACCTGAATCTCCTCCTAGAGCACCATTGAGTTCTTTCTAACCAAATCTCTCTCAGAGGGGGCGTGGGGAGGGGCTCCTTATTTTCATCTAAAGTAACAGACAGAGAATCAGCACTTTGGAAACAGGGCTGAAACAGAGGGGATTATGGGTAATGCTGCAATGATCTGTTTGGTGTTTCAGCCAATCAGAGACAGGCTCTGTATATATCTGAGACCTGTGATATATTGATGAGAAACAGTATAATAGGGGACCTTTAAAATATTTTCCTGTTAACTTTTTATCAGTGTCGTCGGGCGGATTATTATCTGTCACTGAACTTCCATCACGTAAATAGACTCCCTCATTAAAGCATGATTTTGGTCTATTTCATCCAAAGTTAGATTGTTCCTTGTTTAATTGTATACTTTTAATAATTGTCTAGTGCATAAAAAGTATTTAAAAAATCCAGTTTATCCAGATTTTGATTTTTAATAAAAATAATAATTTAACGGTTTGATTTGAAAATTGGAAATATATATAGAAAATGATTGACTTTATTTCATTTAATGGTTTGATTTCGCACAATATATTTGTAAATTCCTCTACATCTGGGAAATAAATTAAGAAATAAATAGATTTAATTGTTTAAGTCTGAAAACTGTCTTTTTAATTTCCTCAAAAATGAAAGAATGAGCAGAATTTGAATTAAAAAGCTGCGTTTTTCGTACCAGAAATATAGTTTGCTCTTTCAAATCCCTGTGACCCTCTGCTGCCTCGTCATGCCACTGAATAAAGTAGAACTATATTTACTTTGGTTTTGATGCTATATTAGTGGATGTCTTCCCGTGTTTTCTACCCCTTAAAGTTCTGGAAGATCTCTGCGGCGTCGAGCCAGGATCTGAAGCACGACAGCCCTTTGTCTCGGATCTGTTTCCGTCCTTTTTCCGTGATCACGTCTCCGTTCTCCTTCACGATCACCAGCTTAGGAACCGCCGTGATCTTGTAGCGCTGCTTCAACTCACTGCAGAGAAAAGAGACACAAAGTAAAAACACCTGAAAACTGCAGCTTTACACATTTTACTAAAACATGTTATGATTGGTATAAAGTATAAGTTGATATAAGGACAACTTTGAGATACTTTAGGTAGGTAGGTAGGTAGGTAGGTAGGTAGGTAGGTAGGTCGGTCGGTCGGTCGGTCGGTAGGTAGGTAGGTAGGTAGGTAGGTAGGTAGGTAGGTAGGTAGGTAGGTAAGTAGGTAAGTAGGTAGGTAGGTAGGTAGGTAGGTAGGTAGGTAGGTAGGTAGGTAGGTAGGTAGGTAGGTAGGTAGGTAGGTAGGTAGGTAGGTAGGTAGGTTTAGATAGATAGATAGATAGATAGATAGATAGATAGATAGATAGATAGATAGATAGATAGATAGATAGATAGATAGATAGATAGATAGATAGATAGATAGATAGATATCTAAAAAAAAACGTGGAGAGAAAATAAATATTTATAATCTCAGAAATAAAAATCATTGAACAACTCTCACTTCTTGTAGTCGTCCGTCCACGGCAGAGCCAGCCAGTCTCCGTGCATGTCGTGGTAATACTCCACCATATCGTCCGCAGATTTATCAGAGGAGATGAAAACGATCTCAAACTGAGCAGCAGGCTCCCTCTCCTCCACCAGCTCCGTGTAGAAGTCACACAGGATGGGCGTGAAATCCCTACACGGCGGACACCACCCTGCAGAAAAGTAGATCCCCACCACTTTGTTCCTCAGAGCCTCCTCAGGATCCACTGTTTCCCCCTCTTTATTCAGGATGGTCCTCCCGGAAAACACCTCCACCATGTCTGCAGAAACACAACTCCTCTCGTTATATATATATATATATATATATAAGATAAGATAAGATAAGAAGTACTTTGTGTTGCAGCAGCATACAAAGACAAGGCATTGTACAATAAAAATTAAAAGACTAGAAATAAACAAGAAAGTAGAAAATATACGTGTTGAAATAATAATAATAATAAAATATAAATCAGAAGGGGTGCAAGGGATTTTCTTGGGTGGTGCAAACATAAACAATATCTGGTTTGCTTACTGCACATATTTTATATTTTTATTGCATTCTATTTCAATGTAAATGACTGCTTTATTTTATTTTATATTTTATTCTTATTTGTTTGTAATGTTATTATAGTGTTCTTAAAATAGTTCGCTATCTGTGTTTTTTTAATCTTTGTTTTACATGTATGTATGCACCACGACATCAAGTCAAATTCCTCGTACGTGTTACGGTACGTCCACACGGCAGCGTCGCGTTGAAGCTTGCCGGTGGGCATGTCTGGCGCGCGACCAACAACCAATCACATTAATCTCCCGCCCCGGACACACAAGCAGGCGGTTTGTTCGGCTAGCGCTTGTACTGGCATATGATTTGATTGGCTGGCGCTTCCGTCGACGCTTAAAAAGTTAAACTTTTCTCAACTTTCGAAAGCGAGCAACAGAGGCAAAGCGACGCGAGGGAACCACAATGCAGTTCGGCAAAGCTTGACGTCACCCCGTTCAAAGTGAATGGGAAGCGTCTCCGTTGAAGCCAAGCCCCCAGGAAGTGCGACGGACTCTGAGGAAAATATTCGTTGTGTCCAAACGGCGGGTACTGCAACTTCCGTATCAGTCCTTGATGTCACTGGGCCCGGAAATACTTTTTCCCATTGAATAACATTGGGAAAGAGATGTCTGTAAATCGTTTGATAATTTTTTTTTAATCAAATAATCTACCCAGTATGAACATTTGTATAGCCCTTATTAAAAACATTCGGCCCTCAAGTTGTAAAATGTGCTAATAATGTTATTCTGAGAGTTCTTTTCCTCGGCTTTATGAACGCGCATCTGAGAGCGGGAGCTCGGGGGGCGGGGCTTAAGGGGCAACTCAACTGCGCATGCTCTATGAGCGCACATACGGGTACTTCTGCTCTGAAAGCTAGGCATGCTGGGTAATCTGAGACGTTTCGCTCTCTCAACAGTTGGGCCATTTTGTCCTCATGCGCCAATGAGCAGCTCTCATAGGAAAGAACGAGACCCCGCCTCCCACGCTGTATCCAGTTCTTATTATACATCCATGGTTGAAGCGCGCGACGCTGCCGTGTGGACGTACCGTTAACCTACCTGGTGATAAACTTGTTTCTGATTCTAAACAACAATACTACAATATCTGTTTTTATTGATTATATTGTGTTGGTTTGTGCTTTTTAGTTTTTTGTGTTGTGTACCTTTGAAAGGCGCTTTTATAAATAAAGTGTATTATTATTATTACAATAGGAAATAAGTTGAAATATAATATTTTTCATTAGAAAATAATAAAGGCTAGTATATACACCAAATTTAAATATACAAAAAATACAAAAAGTATAGTATAATGAAAATTATATTTGAAAAAAAATTGACAAATGTTTATAAAAAAACAATATGGTTTTCCTGAGATTTTTTCAAATGCATCTCTGAAAAACAAATGCCTGTTATTTTGAGATAAATAACTTTAAATGTAAATAACTTGAAGGATAACATATAATGAACTGACTCATTATCAAGGACTAAACATAGAAAATAAAAGGTTTAAATCCCATTTATCCTGTTATATGTTTTTCATGTTGAGATAATGACATAAATCAATTGTGATCGTAAGAAAAAACAACACAATTAACTTTTAACTCATTAAAAACACCCAAAAACGGAGGAAAAAAGGAGGAAATAAAATGCCATTATGACAAAATAAGAGGTTAACAGCAGCCACGACACATTTCAGTGTGTTGAGCTCATATTTCAGCGGAGGTGTGTGTGTGTGCGTCTCTTACCTTCCTGCGGTGTTTACCTGTCTGCAGGTAAGCTCCTTACAGCTGATCCGGGGTCTACTTTATCATCCATGTGTTCACGGGTCAGCTGTTCTAATGATAGTACTGCGCGAATGCAACTTCCGGCAGCAAGCTTGGCGCATGCGCAGAGCAAACGAGCGTTTTCTTAAAGAGGACACTACAGGTAAATGAGGTTAAGAACGATAGATATTAAACTTTGACAGGTAATTACTATAGACTGTATATATAAAGGTAATTACTATAGACTGTATATATAAAGGTAATTACTTATACCAAGAACATATGTTTGGGAAATTAAATGTAATATGTTTTAATATAAAAACGGGGTAATATCTCGTTAAATCTGTGTTTAATGGATATATATATTTTTACTTTTTAATGCTATTTTATTTATATTTCAGAAATATTTTGGACTGTTTATTTCTTGTGTCTTAATTTCTCTAATGTACATTGTCTTGTTGTCTTTGTATGGTGCTGCAACGCAAACATAATCAATGAAACCAGGGCCGTTTCTAGCTTTTTGGGGGCCCTATGCAAGATGCTGTTTGGGGGCCCTAGTTTTTACAGTTTTTTAACTACAATGGGGGGATTCCGAAGCCTTTAAGATGATCTGTGGAGACGCATCAATCTGTCACACTTTAAGAGGAAAAACAGGCTAATTTCAAGAAAACCAAGTAATTGAAAACTTACAAAAAATTATATTAAAAAGGTATAAAGGCTCCTCTATGTCAATAAATGCAAGAGATGCAGCATTTTCTCAACAATGTGACAGCCCAACGATGATTTGGACTTTATTGATCACCAAAAACACAAGCTTTGCTATCATTGCAGTTTAGTTGTGTTTATATCCTACATTTGATTTGTAAGCATATAATGCTTCACCGAACACAGGAGGGGGCTTGGCTGTCTACACATAAAGACAGCTCATTTTAATTCTCCCAAAATAAATTGAGGCTGAACCTGAACTTTCAGCTTGGGGGCCCCCCTAGTGGCCGCAGGGGCCCTATGCATCTGCATAGTCCGCCTATAGAGAGGCGAAGTCCCGCCCATCTACTTCCGCTCCATGGGACCTTATTTCGGAAAAATTATGTGTTGAAGTCAATGGAGAGAGAAAGATTATCTCATCGATCCCGTTTGAAATTGTGCCAACGAATTACACATATGATGTTTGTCAATCTTAAAAAATCATTTCCATGTCAAAAAAGTCACAGTTTGTCATAAAACTGTTGAAATATAAGACTATGAAAAATACGCAACTAGAAAGACTACAAATCCCAGAATCCCAGTCCCGCATGCTGGCTCTTAGGAACCGACTAACTCCCCTTGTGTGTATGCACAGCTCTCAACATGCCCAGACTTGGAGTGATTTTCACCTCTTTTAATACTTTCCGCCTCATTCTGAAAGAAAGAAGTGAAATGTGCCAACGTGACGGCCGTCTTGGTGTGTGGTGCGAGATGGGAGATGTAGTTCATTGAGCGGTTTCACACAAACAAAAGTGTTACTTCACAGTTTTACGACACATTTTTATTTTTTTGACTTGCAAAATTATCTTTTAAATTGACAAACATCATATGTGTAATTCGTGGCACAATTCAAACGGGATCGAAAGATAATCTTTCTCTCGCCATTGACTTCAATACATACTTTTTCCGAAATAAGGTCCCATGGAGGTCCCCCGGAAAGGGAGGGACTTCGCCTCTCTATTGGAAGAAACGGCCCTGAATGAAACAGAAACCAGAACAACCGTTACTGAGGCAGGAAAACTAATTAAAAAAGACTACAAATCTAGTCAAAAGTCTGTGGCAATGTCTGTGTGAACAACAGCTGTGTGTATAAAATGCTGTAACATCAGAATCCTGTATCATTTCACAGAAGTAAGAAGGTATTTAGAGGTCAGTGTGCTTCCTTGTCTCCTTGTTTCCCTCGTTGAAGGTTGTTTGGAAAGAGACACTTCCTCTCTTCCTGCTTCCTTTTCTTTCTGTGCACTCAGCTCCGGTGTCGAAAGACTGAACGGGACGTACTTTCCTTTTCTGTCTTTTCTTTTTACAAGAACAACTCACTCACTCTGCCCTAAAACATCTCCAGCAACATGACCTCGAATTCCAATGTATCCAACATGAGACGCCTCGTAGAGCAACTGAAGCTGGAGGCGAGCGTGGAGAGAATCAAGGTACAGACGGAGAAAAGATTATAAATATGAAGAGTTTAAGAATTTACTTTGAGTTTTCTTAACTTAACCTAATTTACACTGTATCGATTCAACACACCACAGTTTGTTTTTGCTTTTATTTTATACAATATATTCATTTTTTTGCCATTTTCTTATCTTCTTGCAGCACAGTCATTCATACAGAATGTTCTAGCCCTATTTTTCCACACATTAGATCCATTCTGTAGCATATTATTTATCAATTGAACATTTAAAAATACATTTACCTACAAAGACAAGTGTCAAATGTGTTTTTTGCACTGAATAATTCAGTGTCGTTTTGTGGGCAAATTCATTGTTTTGTTTGGTAAACATGTCTTATGATCTGCATGTTGCTCCCTGCACTCCTTTTAGCTTGTAACCCTGTCTTTCACAGCAGATTGATTGCATACAAAACATGCAAATTGCTTATAAAATATGACACTTCTTAAATTAAACCACCCGATATTACAAACAGAGCTGAACCAATTACAGACAATTATTTGGAAACTTTTTTAATAGTTAAGGGATTTTTTTAACTTTGGACTTTCTTTATTGGAAGTTCCCAACAAGCGATTGAGACATGCTTGGTGTCGATGGATTCGTCTGATCCTCTTGTTTCATAAGATATCAGCATTTCAAAAGTACTTGAGAACACTTTAATGCATCATTAATTATAAAACATATCATATATATTATTCTGAAATGGACCAATCTGCACAACGACTACTTTTACTGTCTCTACTTTCACTATATTTTGATGAGAATACTTTTCTACTTTGACTTGAGGAACATTTTGAATGCAGGACTTTTACTGTAACAGAGTATTCCTACACTCTGGTACTTCTACTTTTACTCAAGTACAAGTTCTGAGTACTTCTACTTTTACTCAAGTACAAGATCTGAGAACTTCTACTTTTACTAAAGTACAAGATCTGAGTACTTCTACTTTTACTCAAGTACAAGATCTGAGTACTTCTACTTTTACTCAAGTACAAGATCTGAGTACTTCTACTTTAAGTCAAGTACAAGATCTGAGTACCTCTACTTTTACTTTCATAGATTACCGGAATGTAAGAAGTAGAAAGTACAGGTATTTGTGTTCAACATGTAAGAAGTAGAAAGTACAGGTATTTGTGTTCAACATGTAAGAAGTAGAAAGTACAGGTATTTGTGTTCAACATGTAAGAAGTAGAAGTACAGGTATTTGTGTTCAACATGTAAGAAGTAGAAAGTACAGAAATTGGGTTCAAAATGTAAGAAGTAGAAAGTACAGGTATTTGTGTTCAACATGTAAGAAGTAGAAAGTACAGGTATTTGTGTTCAAAATGTAAGAAGTAGAAAGTACAGGTATTTGTGTTCAAAATGTAAGAAGTCAAAGTAAAAAGTCCACAATAAGTAGTGGAGTAAAGTACTGATACCAGAAACATGTACTGAAGTACAGTAACGAAGTATTTGTACTCCACTACTTCCCACCTCTGGATATCAGAATTTAAAAGTACTTGTTGTGTACTTGTTGTGTATTTGTTGTAGGTGTCGCAGGCGGCTGCAGAGCTGCAACAGTTTTGTCTGCAGAACGCAGCTAAAGACGCGCTTCTGGTCGGGGTCCCCACGGGGAGCAACCCCTTCAGAGAGCCTCGATCCTGCGCCGTGGTGTGAAGAGAACTCAGTGAGTTATATGAGTTAGAAAATGTCCCCGCTTGAGCTTCAACATCAGGATCCATGTATCTATGATCCTCTCCAGAATGGAAGTAGTCATCACACACAGAACATCAACTAGTTCCTGAACAGTGTCCTTCACATGCTGATATCCAAGAGAGGGAGTTACACAGTCACAAGATGGAGGAATAGAAAGCAGTATTCAATGTTTACTTCAGATTAGCTCCACGTCAGAAATGAGCATGCTTGTCATATGTCTATCTCCATAGAGGCTGAATCATCATGTTAATCACATAGCTATCATATGCCTCAAACAGTCCTGATGCTCTTCTAGGTAATCATACATCCTGTCATGTTCACAGCTACAGTTGGGATACCTTTGTTATCATGTGGACTCTGATATTGGAAGAGGACATTCAGTATTTTCCCAACACAATGCTTTCATTTTAGGTAGTGCGTATTGTTTATAAAGCAGAATTTAAAATGAGGAATTAAAATAATGGTCTTTATTTTTGCAGGGGAGGACGAGGAACTTGCAGAAGAGGATCATTTTGTTTTGTTTGTAACATTTATGAAGAAAAAATATTAATTGTTCAAATAAATGTCTTGTTTTATTTCATTGTTTGCATGTTTGCTTTTCTTCATTCAAAATAATATTGTAAAAATAATAAATAATAAATAATAAATAATAAATAATAAATAATAAATAATAAATAATAAATAATAAATAATAAATAATAATTAATAATAATAATAATTAAGTTTATCAAGGACTTAAATATATATATTTACATGTCATTGTTTTTGATTACATTACACTTCATTCAGCTGATGCTTTCATCCAAATCAACTGACGTTAAGTGCAATTATCCGCTAACAATCACAGCTTTTTAGAGTGCTAATGCATTGTAATGCTGCAGTATAGAGTAGAGTCAACAGGGATTATCTGTGTGTTTTAAAGAGCGGATGTTAACTGCACAAATCACGCCGAGGAACCTCTGAGCTTCCTGACGCTCAGTCTAAGTTAGGAGAGAGGAAACGAGGATCTTCCTGTTCAAAACTGCACAGACTTTCCTGCACCGAGGTCTCAGGACCCAAGGTCACTTTGCAGAAAAATGCTTTATTGTGCCGGCAAAACAAGGCCACAAAAACAAAACTCTTTCTCTCCCTCCCTCACCGTAAACATTCAACATCAAGGATCTGACAACAAGTGAAAGACAAGCAGAACTTAAATACCAGCAAGACTAATTACTAGGTGAACACAATCAGGAGGGAAACACAGAGACAGGAAGCGACAGCAGGGGGTGAACACCTTTCAACATAAGGAACACAGACAGATCGTGACAGTGCCTCCCAGCGTTTATAGATTTTAGACTTTAATCAAGAGCTAAAGGCGATGTTAGATGTCAGAAATAAAACATGAATCACCCGACTATGGGATGGGATATCATGCAGCGTGCTTTAGGGTCTATTTCAGTGTGTTAAGTCATGTCTATTTGTATTTAAAAATCTGTATAAAATCCAATGTAAATATGTGTAAATGACGAAAGAATCAGTCTCTGGCCATAATGAGAAACCTTCCACTTTGTCTCACTTCCTTTTCCTCCCAGTACAATGTTTTTTGGGCGAGTCTCAAAACCCACTGGTGATGCCTCCTTTCTAACAGCTGCATCCTCCCCTAGGACACTTGTTGCAGGTGCAAGGATTTGAAAGAAGTGCACGAAAAACTCTCTTTGAGACACAATCTAGAAAGAAATGTGATTATATTATTCTGAAATGGACCAATCTGCACAAACACTACTTTTACTGTCGCTACTATATTTTGATGATAATACTTTTATACTTTTACTTGAGGAACATTTTGAATGCAGGACTTTTACTGTAACAGAGTATTCCTACACTCTGGTACTTCTACTTTTTACTCAAGTACAAGATCTGAGTACTTCTACTTTTACTCAAGTACAAGAACTGAGTACTTCTACTTTTACTCAAGTACATGATCTGAGGGTGCCTACTTCTACTTTTACTCAAGTACAACATCTGAGTACTTCTACTTTTACTCAAGTACATGATCTGAGTACTTCTACTTTTACTCAAGTACAACATTATCTGAGTACTCTCTCTCCCCCCTCTGTACAATTTAGAGGGAAAACATGCTGAAAAAGCAGAAAAAGGCGGAAAAAACCAGCAGGATTAGAACGCCACATGGCCTACTAGTGAAACGTATGACGTATGACGCACGACGCAATGACGTCAGCAGACCGTCCTGCTGTGGCGCGGCTAGTTTTAAAGAGTCTCTTCTGTTGGAGGGCTGCAGGAAATAGCTCATCTCTGCACTTTCTGTACATATTATTCATATTTCAACATTACGTTTGACCCGGAGGAGATGCCAAAAACACAGGTGAGCTTACAAACTGTGTGTGTGCATGTCTGTGGTGTTAAATATTGGAATTAGCGATACCATAGGCATTATTTACAATCGCGTCATGCATGAGAAGAGGCCAACACTGTGTTAGATTGCTAACTTTTTTCTTTATTAAATGTATCTCTCAAGGGTCTGCATGTCTGTAAAGTCCTATCCTTTGTGTTTGTGAGTCGCCATTACTGTGTGCACCTTCGGTTATAAACTGTAGCTAGTTTGATTGATACCGCGCTTTCAGTCCAGACTTTCTCCACTTCCTGCTGCTGGGATCTAAAGTGTAACCAGATCAGGGAAAGGAGAATAAAAACCACTGTGCACGAATATGTCGCTGGAAATAGATATTATGAAGTGTTTTTCTGCTCTGGTGCAGTTAGATTTGGCGCGATCTGTAGCATCAATATGGCGGGGAGAAAGGTATCAGTGGTGGGAAGTAACTAAGTATCAGAGGGGGGAGAAGTACTCAGATCTAGTACTCAGATCTAGTACTTAGGTCAAAGTAGAAGTACTCAGATCTTGTACTTGAGTAAAAGTAGAAGTACCAGAGTGTAGGAATACTCTGTTACAGTAAAAGTCCTGCATTCAAAATGTTCCTCAAGTAAAAGTAGAAAAGTATTCTCATCAAAATATAGTTAAAGTAGCGACAGTAAAAGTAGTGATTGTGCAGATTGGTCCATTTCAGAATAATATATATGATATGTTTTATAATGATTGATCATGAAAGTGTTCTCAAAGCTGGTAAAGGTGCAGCTAGTTTGAATGACTTTGTATACTGCAGGGTAGCTTGTGAATTTACTCCAGGTGGAACTAAAGTCTGATTTAACACTTGATTATATTTCACATCATTCATCCACATCTGTGAAGTAACTAAAGGTATTAAATACATGTAGTGAAGTACAAAGTAGCCTAAAATGGACGACAGTTGTGTTATCTCGTTTTGAACCAGTGTTAAATGTGTCTCCTCTTCCAGCATGCCTCTGCAGGATCTTCCCTCTGGGACTCTCCAGGGCTACATGCTGTCTCAGTCCAACGAGATGAACAAACGCAAGTCCTCAGACGTCTTTCTGAGCGAGGGTCTGGACATGGAGTGCACCCCCACAGAGTCCATCATGCAGTTTTCCCCCCCACCACAAATACCAGAGGCTCCTCAGCATGAGGAAAGAGAACGACTGCAACCAGTTTGTCCTCAACAAGAGATCACGGAGGAAAAAGGAGTCCACGTCATGTAAGGGATCCTCTTTGTACATATCATATTCTAACGGTACACACATCCTTTCCTCAAGTAGAAGTACAGATACTCATGTTTAAACATACTCTGGTGAAAGTAGAAGTACTGACTAAACTGACTGGAGGCGTGTGGTGCAGTGGGTTGAGCGTTGGTATTCAGATCAGGGGGGTCACAGGTTCAAACCCACTGCAGTCAGCATGTCGTTGTGTCCCTGAGACACTTCACCCCAAATTGCTCCTGTGGGGATTGGTCCACAGTATTGAGTATATAGGTCGCTTTGGATAAAAGCGTCTAACAAGTAACATGTAATGTAAACTTCTTTACTCAAGTCAAAGTAAAAGAGGGCTTTGAAATGTACTTCAGTAAAAGTACCCATAACTAGCAGCTGTTTTAAAAGAGTACCTGACCTCCCTTTATATTAATAGAACAATAATGTCATTGTTAGCTAATGAATGTTTCCATGCTGAACAACGGCAACATGACAACGTTTTCATTGGTCCCTCTTCTTTAGAGAAGACCAGGACATGATGGATACACGGATCGTGTTCAAATCAATAGGCACGCAATGACTCTAAATAATAATGATCACGCCACCAAACACACATTCAAACTAAAGGAACCAGCCTGTTTGGGAAATGTGAGGAAGTAGAAAGTACAGGTATTTGGTGTTCAACATGTAAGAAGTAGAAAGTACAGGTATTTGTGTTCAACATGTAAGAAGTAGAAAGTACAGGGTATTTGGGTTCAACATGTAAGAAGTAGAAAGTACAGGTATTTGTGTTCAACATGTAAGAAGTAGAAAGTACAGGTATTTGTGTTCAACATGTAAGAAGTAGAAAGTACAGGTATTTGTGTTCAACATGTAAGAAGTAGAAAGTACAGGTATTTGTGTTCAACATGTAAGAAGTAGAAAGTACAGGTATTTGTGTTCAACATGTAAGAAGTAGAAAGTACAGGTATTTGAGTTCAACATGTAAGAAGTAGAAAGTACAGGTATTTGTGTTCAACATGTAAGAAGTAGAAAGTACAGGTATTTGGGTTCAACATGTAAGAAGTAGAAAGTACAGGTATTTGTGTTCAACATGTAAGAAGTAGAAAGTACAGGTATTTGTGTTCAACATGTAAGAAGTAGAAAGTACAGGTATTTGAGTTCAACATGTAAGAAGTAGAAAGTACAGGTATTTGTGTTCAACATGTAAGAAGTAGAAAGTACAGGTATTTGAGTTCAAAATGTAAGAAGTAGAAAGTACAGGTATTTGTGTTCAAAATGTAAAAAGTAGAAAGTCGTCAGAAAAACAAGTAGTGGAGTGAAGTACTGATACCAGAAAAATGAACTTAAGTACAGTAACGAAGTATTTGTACTCCACTACTTCCCACCTCTGTTTACATGTATCTAGACTTTTTGCACTATTTTTTGTTTATTATATATGTTGGATTGTTGGAGCAGCTCAGGTCAGAAGAATTTACTCTGGAGCTTTGTGCATATGACAATAAAACCTTTGAATTTCTGACCCCCGTGGAACAGCTGAATCGTTCTGTTTGTAGCTGTGGTCTCATTCCTTCCTCTCCCTCAGCAGGCATCTCATGGGACCACCTTCCTGACGAGCTGCTCCTCAGGATCCTCTTCTACGTCCCTCTGCAGGATCTCTGCAGGATGTCGTCCGTCTGCAAGCGCTGGCATCGCTTAGCGTGAGTTTCTAATCCAGGGGTGTCAAACTCCTTCTAGTTCAGGGGCCACTTTACAGACCGATTTCATCTCAAGTGGGCCGGACCAGTAACATCATAGCATCGTAACCTATAAATAACAACAACTCCTAATTGTTCCCTTTGTTTTAGTGCAAAAAGGTACATTGGTCACATTTTATGAACTACAAAACATTATGAGATGTTTCAACTATTTTATGCCTCCGTTTATCATTTACACATGTGCATTACAGCTAACAGATCACAGTGTGTACAAACACATTTAGTCCCCGGTATCTGGAACTGAGCAATATAGTATTTGACTTTATGATCAAAATCCTTTGAAACCCTGTAACACAACAGGATGGTCAGCCTCCAGTGATTTATAATCCTTCCCTTTATCTTGCTTATGTCTCTAAAATACAATATAAGTCATTATGTAAGCAGTTTTTAAGACAACCGTCTCATAGGCGTGTTTCAGACATGATTGTTGGATGTATTTAAATTGTGTCAGCCTCAAACATTAATTATGTTAAGGTTGTTGACCCTCAAGTTAGTCCAATAAAGCAGACCTATATCCTAAAGTGTTTTATATTAGTACCTTCCAATCATCTATGAATATGTATAATGTTTTCTTGTTCACAACTAAGAGATGTATACTTGATCGCCATGACAACAGATAACCAGTGTAACAAGTAGATTTTGAATGGCATTCGTTACGAACTGGGACCAGGTAGTAAGGGTCTAATACAAATAGGATCAAGTTGCATTGTGGGAAATGTAGTTCTCACACATTTCTGAGACTGAGCCATAAAAGAGAAAGAAAGTGAATATCTGTTGGTTTGCTGTTTACATTTGGATCTTATTCTTTTAGCCTTCTAACAAAACGTAGAGAGTCGATCGGTTCTCACTGGTGTTTTAAAAAGGTCTCTCTCTCTCTCTCTCTCTCTCTCTCTCTCTCTCTCTCTCTCTCTCTCTCTCTCTCTCTCTCTCTCTCTCTCGTCTCTACTCTCTCTCTCTCGTCTCCTCTCCTCTCTCTCTCTCTCCTCTCTCTCTCTCAGGTTGGATGAGTCTCTGTGGCACAGCGTGGATCTGGAGGGTTTGACCCACGTAGGTCCGGCTCTGCAGCAGGTTCTGAAGAACGGGGTCCACATGCTGCGCTGCCCTCGCTCCTTTGTGGAGGACTTCCACTTCAGCGGCTCAGGGTGAGTCTCTGCCAAAAGTACACACATCCTTTACTCAAGTAGAAGTACAGATACTCACACATAGGTGACCTTTAACAAGAGCAACATAATGCATCTGAAGTGATTTAAAAATAACCAAACGTACTCTGGTTCTCTTCAGCCCCCTACAGATGGTCCTGATGGATCTGTCCAGCTCCATCATCCCCCCCTCCTCTCTGGAGAGCATCCTCTCTCACTGCAGACTGCTGGAGTTCCTGAGTCTGGAGGCTCTGCAGCTTTCAGACAACATCATCAGGTACACACACACACACACACACACACACACACACACACACACACACACACACACACACACACTGATCACATCTCCATCATCAGGTACCTGCAAACACACATTTTAAGCCTTCTCCCAAAGCAGTATGTTTATCAGGTGTGGTGTAAGAAGGTCTTCTCTCAGTGACTCTGATGATGATGATGATATATATTTTGTTCTTCCTCAGCTCTCTGTCCATGAACCCTAACCTGCTGCAGCTGAATCTGAGCGGCTGCTCCGGCTTCTCTGCTCCTGCTCTCGCTCACATGCTGAAGTCCTGCAGCAGGTCAGAAACTCCTCTGTTTCACTTTAGAACCCTCTGATCTGATAACTACAGAGGTGGGAAGTATTGGAGTACAAATACTTTGTTACTGTACTCAAGTACATGTTTCTGGTATCAGTACTTTACTCCACTACTTATTTTTCTGACGACTTTTTACTTTGACTTCTTACACTTTGAACCCAAATACCTGTACTTTCTACTTCTTACATGTTGAACACAAATACCTGTACTTTCTACTTCTTACATGTTGAACACAAATACCTGTACTTTCTACTTCTTACATGTTGAACTCAAATACCTGTACTTTCTACTTCTTACATGTTGAACCCAAATACCTGTACTTTCTACTTCTTACATTTTGAACACAAATACCTGTACTTTCTACTTCTTACATTTTGAACACAAATACCTGTACTTTCTACTTCTTACATGTTGAACACAAATACCTGTACTTTCTACTTCTTACATGTTGAACACAAATACCTGTACTTTCTACTTCTTACATTTTGAACACAAATACCTGTACTTTCTACTTCTTACATGTTGAACACAAATACCTGTACTTTCTACTTCTTACATGTTGAACCCAAATACCTGTACTTTCCAGTGGCGTTTTTATATGTACAAAAGTGGTGGGGCACAAAAAACTTAGATGTCTATATATAAGCTTCTGCAGTGACGTGCAGTGAGGTTCATGGCTGGTGAGGCACTGGCACTGACTCTTCAGGTTTACAAATATTATATTTTGACCTAAACCAAAATATAATATTATTTTCAAAAGCTTTTTTTGTCTGATGCTTCGATTAATTTTAAACAGACAGTTCAACAAAAGGATACCCAAAAAATGTAATTTTATCATTTAAATATTGAATTGTTCTCTCTTAGTAAGATCCCATTTTCAATAAAATGGCGGTCTTACCTTGACTTGAAGATGAAGTCCATTTGCCTATCCTTCTGGACAAACATTTCTATTACTTTTTTGTAAAAGTCCTCCTTATCTTCTTGTAGTTTCAAAAGTCTATCATAAATCTAATCCATAGATTTATGATAAAAAAATTATAAAAGTAGGGTAGACATGTGGATGTTATCCGGCTGAACAAAACGTGCATTTATCTAACAGGTACGTTTCCCACAGATCTTATTTCCAGCTATTTTCTAAAATCCTACAGTATGTAGAAACCTCATTGCTTTTTTGTGCTTACTTCCTGGTTTTAGGACGCGCCCCTGCATCTCTCTCGTCTCCTCTTCACACAGCACACTTTTCGCGGCACACGTACTTACAGCCAATCAGCTCTGAATGATTTGAGATGACGTATGGTGGGGATGGCAGCTCCGTGCCCCTCTGGTCATTATTTTTTTGCCACACACATTTCATTACAAAATACTCTGAGCATGCGCAGTGAAGTTTTTACAGTCACCGTTCACTTTGACAGTGAGAGGGAGGGGCATGATCAGGTTTTGTCCCACATGGGTCTAAACAGCTCAATAGGCACACACTGTGACTGTAGACACTAATTAGAAGAACACAGACTAAAACAGCAATGTACAGACGAATCAGATGATTAAACATGACCTTAAAATATATTTTATATATTTTTGTATTTCTTTTTTTGCATCTCTTTGCATTTTTTGATATCATTATGTGTAATACTTTCTGCTGACACTAGGTGGGCCAGTCGCCACTGGTACTTTCTACTTCTTACATGTTGAACACAAATACCTGTACTTTCTACTTCTTACATGTTGAACACAAATACCTGTACTTTCTACTTCTTACATGTTGAACACAAATACCTGTACTTTCTACTTCTTACATGTTGAACCCAAATACCTGTACTTTCTACTTCTTACATGTTGAACCCAAATACCTGTACTTTCTACTTCTCACATGTTGAACACAAATACCTGTACTTTCTACTTCTTACATGTTGAACCCAAATACCTGTACTTTCTACTTCTCACATGTTGAACACAAATACCTGTACTTTCTACTTCTTACATGTTGAACACAATACCTGTACTTTCTACTTCTTACATGTTGAACACAAATACCTGTACTTTCTACTTCTTACATGTTGAACACAAATACCTGTACTTTCTACTTCTTACATGTTGAACACAAATACCTGTACTTTCTACTTCTTACATGTTGAACCCAAATACCTGTACTTTCTACTTCTTACATGTTGAACTCAAATACCTGTACTTTCTACTTCTTACATGTTGAACACAAATACCTGTACTTTCTACTTCTTACATGTTGAACCCAAATACCTGTACTTTCTACTTCTCACATTTCCCAAACAGGCTGGTTCCTTTAGTTTGAATGTGTGTTTGGTGGCGTGATCATTATTATTTAGAGTCATTGCGTGCCTATTGATTTGAACACGATCCGTGTATCCATCATTTCCTGGTCTTCTCTAAAGAAGAGGGACCAATGAAAACGTTGTCATGTTGCCGTTGTTCAGCATGGAAACATTCATTAGCTAACAATGACATTATTGTTCTATTAATATAAAGGGAGGTCAGGTACTCTTTAAAACAGCTGCTAGTTATGGGTACTTTTTACTGAAGTACATTTCAAAGCCTCTTTACTTTTACTTGAGTAAAGAAGTTTAGTCAGTACTTCTACTTTCACCAGAGTATTTTTAAACACGAGTATCTGTACTTCTACTTGAGTAAAGGAAGTGTGTACTTCCCCCTCCCTCCCTCCTCACGCTGTGTGTTCTCCTCAGGATCGAGCAGCTGAACATATCGTGGTGTGAATTCGACAACGATCACGTGAAGAGTGTTGTTAATAATCTGAACCCTGCTGTCACTCACCTGAACCTCAGCGGGTACAGAGAGGGCCTCACACTGGAAGGTAAACATCTGACAGACTCATTACCATGCCAGTATTTATTGTAGAAAGGGCGGGAAAAGGATTGAAGTGAAACCCTCTTTGAACACGCGACGTGTCTGTTTCAGATGTGAAGGTGCTGGTGACCAGGTGTCCAAATATTCAAGCACTAGATTTAAGGTGAGATCTTTTTCATAAATATTCAGTCGATGTAGTGACATCCATAACATTCATCTGTTTGCAACTTACACATTATTTATCTAATATATCATATTCCAATGACTTGTATATAGACTCTCCTTGCACTATTGTATCTGTGTTATTGTGTTGCTCTGTTGGAGGAGCCTGGGACCTAAGATTTTCATTGTCATATCTACACTGTAGCTATGTACACATGACAATAAAAGCCTTGAAACTTGAACTACAAATGAACATAATGTCCCAGTTTGTCAGCGTATTGGTTTATCATTAGATCAGCATGAAGAGCTTTCAATAACTGCACTTCTCAGTAGTTTGTTTGAGTATTTTCTGTGTGTAATGAGCTGTTTGTTGTGTTGTAGTGACAGCACTCTCCTGATGGCCGACAGCTTCCCGGTCCTCAGACAGCTGAAGGGTTTGCTCCATCTCTCTCTGAGCCGCTGCTACCACATCCACCTCGCTGCCCTCACGTGAGTCTCCTCAAAACCAGCTCCTAACCTCTTTTCCTAACCACTATCCCTTCATCTCTGTGAGAAACGCATTCATGTATTAAAAGAACTGGATATAGCATCGGAGAAGGCTTGTTTATTCCTATGAGGGTTGCTCAAGCATTCATGGAAAAAAGCTGCTTGGTTCCCCTAGTCCAGTGCCCTGTACTACGAAGCCGGATTTTCGCTTAGCGAGCTGACTTCAGGGAGAACTCTGGGTTTCCGGTCCTACGACGCTGGTTCTCTTCTTAGCGGGCTAGATCTCCATGGTAACTTATGCTGAGCGGCAAACCTGCCCGGGAGGAGGTTAGGTTGCAGGCTAAGAGATCAACTCAGTGAAAGCACCGCCTGCTGACCAATCAGAGCTCCGTGTGCGGAGTTTAAAGCGATCAATTCATATTACAGGATAGAGGAAATACAGAAAAACTGCCGTTGCAGGAAAGACGGCCGGCAAGAATCAACTGACTGTGTGAACGTGAAAATGAATAGAATATCCCCTCCCATCTTCAGAGCAATCTGACTATTATAATATTAGCGTTAAGAAAGCTTACTTAAATATCTGCCACGACATAAGTAACCGGATCAGAGTAACATTACGTACAGTCCGCGGCACTGTGAGTGCAGACGTCGATGTGTCCCATTATCATTCATATCATATCACATCATAATGTATCATATATTTCCTTATTTGAGTCAGCTGAGCCGTATCTGGCCGTGCAACACTCACAGTGTCACATACTGTATGCAGAAGTATTATTTTAAGCAACACATTAAGTTGACGAAACACTCGAGTCAAATGTAATTAAAGTCAGATCGTGTCTTGGACGGGGCAGTGATTTCATAAACCTGTTAATGTACGCATTCAAACACTTTTTCTTTTACCAGCTGTATTCACCTTGCAGGTGCAGCTATGTGGCTTCTATCCTGGATAAAGTGTTTAAGACATGGATGTTTAAAGTTTAACTTCTTCATATTTGACTAATATTAAAGTTCACTTTTCATTCAGGAAGTATGACGCTGCGCTGTCAGTACGCTTGTCCATGTTTGAGATTGGTGGAATGCTCCAAATACCACCCCTTTCATGTGAACGCGCACCTAACTAGATAGGACACGGCTGGCTTGAGCGATCCACTTGATAACCGGCGTCGTAGGACCGCTTAGCGAGAGCGCGTATGTTTTGGATTAGGCCAACCGGCTAACTCAAACATATCATTATAACATAACATAACAGTACGCTTGTCCATGTTTGTGATTGTTCAAATGTTGCTAGCCCCGCCCCTTTCATGTGAACGCGCTCTCAGCCGGACAGAGAAACCCTGGCTTGAGTTACCGAGTTGATAACCAGCGTCGTAGGACCGCTTAGCGAGAGCGCGTTTGTTTTGGATTAGGTAAACCGGGTAACTCAAACATATCCAGGGTCTGTTGAACCGGCTTCGTAGTACAGGCCTCAGGGGTGTCAAACACAATTACTTCTTATCTACCTAACCTTATGTATATATATATATATTTTTTTAATGCTATTTTATTTCTATTGCGATGTTTACATTTTGGAATGTTAGTTTCTAGTCTTTAATGAACCTTTAAATAAACCTTCCTCTCTCTCTGCAGGAACCTGGGCTCCGTGTTCCCTCTTCTCTCTCTGCTGGACGTGTTTGGCATCGTGAAAGACGGCCACCTGTCCTCTCTGAAGAAGGAGCTTCCTCGCATCACCATCAACTCCAGACCGTTCTCCAGCATCGCCCGCCCCTCGCCCTCCTCAGGCCTCACCGGCGGCTTCATGTGGGACAGGAAGTGCCAGCTGAGGTTCAAACTGTAGCCGCCATGTTTTTCTAAGCTGAGTGAGTGTCTGTTACATGTCCCATGTTTCAGAGTTTCTGCTGCTACACATGTTGTTAGTGTTATCTGACGTAAAGAGGTTAAAGGTCACTTTAAGGCGGGGTGATTCTTTATTTAGAAAAGTCAGATTTTGACGTTGAATCCAGTTCTTGTTGGAATGTTTTAACACAAACGTTTGATGGATTTTTGAATCAGTTTTAGGTTCTAATAATGTTTATTTAAAAATATTTTGTACGAGAAACATGGTTTTAAAGACTCAATGGAAATGAAGATGTCTTTTTAAAAACTTGAGACGATTGTTCTCGGGGAAATAATGAGGTGGTTTTAAAGAATGAATGTAACATGATGAACACACACTTCTCCCCCTTTTATCAGTGCATTATGTCACCGTATTTTCACTGCTGTTGATCATTAATGTCAGATGTGAATTTTAACTGTTCCTTTTCTCCTGAGTCTTTACAGTAAACCACTGAATGCACTAACTGTGTCTGAGTGTGCTTCATTTCAGCTAATACGGAAATGTACAAATCCTCCTGCTACACTTATTTCCCTTTCTTTTCTTTTGTGGGATATTGGATGTTGAAGGATTACTTTTGTCAATTAAAAACATGTCTACTAAATGATCGAGCCGTCATTTTGACTTTTCATAGTGACTAATAACAACCAGGGTTCTTACGGTCATTGAAAACCTGGAAAAGTCATGGAAATTCAAAATGTTAATTCCAGGCCCTGGAAAAGTTATGGAAATGTAACTAAAGTTGCATCAAATCTAATTTATATTTGATTAATCGCCGAAATAGTAATACTATAACGATAATAAATACTGTATAGTAATGAAATGTAAAATGGCATTTAACTGACGAGGTGTTTTGCTGGTGAGAGATTTTAGTGTGCAGAAGCTACTAAGCCTACTATTCGAATGTGCTCCTGTCCACAGTACATGACCGTTACATGTATGATATGTGTGTAATGTGTACTTGTAAAGCGCCTTGATGACTTCGAGGTGTGAAGATGGGCGGAGTGGTGCAGTGGGCTGGGCATTGGGGAACACCAGTTCGAAACCCGCCGCTGCGTCTGTAAAGCCCAGGGTTCTTACGGTCATTAAAAACCTGGAAAAGTCATGGAAATTCAAAATGCTAATTCCAGGCCCTGGAAAAGTCATGGAAATGTAACTAAAGTTGCATCAAATATAATTTATATTTTATCTAATCGCCGAAATAGTAATACTATAACGATAATAAATACTGTATCGTATCGTATAGTAATGAAACGTAGAATGGCATTTAACTGACGAGGTGTTTTGCTTGTGAGAGATTGTAGAAGCTACTAAGCCTACTATTTGATTTGTTTTAGATAGGCACGACATGTTTCATATGCAGACCTTATTTTCCTGTTCCATGTTAAAATAAACATTTTCAGTGGTACCGCTGAGAAAGAGTCATTGTTTTGGTCATGGAAAATTAGGTAAAGGGCATGGAGAAGTAATTGAAAATCATTGGTGAAAGCGTGTATGAACCCTGAACAACGTTCTGTATGTTTGGTGCACCAGTAAAGCATGACGGGGAAAACTGAAGCAGCTAAATGACATTAATTTCATTATTTATCCAACCAGTCTTCTCAGGAAAATGTTTAATATTCTGAGCATATTAAAAAAGCATTCTGCAGTGCACATTAAAGCATTGATTCTCCTAATCCCACACACGTGTGCTTTTGTTATAAATCCACACAGAGGCAGTAATGAGGCTCAACAAGCACATGTTTATTTTTTAATACCACTTTATCTGACTACTAAAACAACACTTCCTGACACACAGACCCCACCTTTGGCACTCTGCAAATTAACCCTTTACCCTCCACTTTGTAAACCAGTCCTGAAAAAGGTGCACCAACAATGTGGAATTACAAGTGTTTACTAGAGAACAGGATTTGTTTTAAATATTTAAAATCATTCCTGAACTGTGACATGATCGTTTCTCTTCATATCAGAGAGTGTTTAAATACCTCAGGCACATTCTGCTTCAGTAGCATTTCCAAAAGCTGCATTTCAGGTCTTGAGAGAGGTGAGAGCATGGAGCAACAATGCCCCCTTTTTAATCGTGGAGTTTATTTTTCAGTGTGCTGAACTCTGCTGCTCTCAAAGCCCAAACCATCGAGAAAAAAATATAAGCTTTGTTCCAAAAATATCTTTAGTTGACAAAAAGCCACTCAGTTCACCCCCACCCTTTATATCTTAGCAACACCTTTATATCCAAGCAACACTCTGACCTTTTAAAGTCCACGTATTCTACATTTATCAACAAATCCCACGTGCAGACCAACAAGTGGAAACCGGTCATTTGTGTGTGTGTTCCTTAATTACCCTTACTGTCATTTATTTAGATCTAATCTCTCTCTCACACACACACTCTCTCTTTCTTTCTCTCTCTCACACACTTTCTCTCACACACACTCTTTCTCACTCTCACACACACACACTTTCTCTCACACACACACTCACACACTCTTTCTCACTCTCTCACACACACACTCTTTTTCTCTCTCACACTCTCACACACACACTCACACACTCTTTCTCACTCTCTCACACACACACTCTTTTTCTCTCTCACACTCTCTCACACACACACACACTCTCTCACACACACACACACACACACTCTCTCACACACACACACACACACTCTCTCTCACACACACACACTCTTTCTCTCTCTCACACTCACACACTCTTTCTCACTCTCTCACACACACACTCTCTTTTTCTCTCTCACACTCTCTCACACACACACACACACTCTCACACACACACACACACACTTTCTCTCACACACACACACTCTTTCTCTCTCACACACACACACACTCTTTCTCTCTCTCACACTCTTTCTCTCTCACACTCTTTCTCTCACACACACACTCTTTCTCTCTCTCTCACACACTTTCTCTCTCACACACACACTCTTTCTCTCTCTCACACACACTCTTTCTCTCTCTCACACACACTCTTTCTCTCTCTCACACACACACTCTTTCTCTCTCTCACACACACACTCTTTCTCTCTCTCACACACTCTCACACTCTTTCTTTCTCTCACAGACACACACTCTTTCTCTCTCTCACACACACACACTTTCTCTCTCTCACACACACACACACACTTTCTCTCTCTCACACACACACACACTTTCTCTCTCTCACACACACACACACTTTCTCTCTCTCACACACACACTCTCACACACACACAGTCTTGCTGCAACAATTACTCACTAGAGCAGCAAATGTGGATTAATCCGCCGCTGAAAATAGTCCCCAACAAATACACCAATTCCTCTTGTTTGAGTAAAACACAAACATTACATTTTTTTGTGTGAGCCATTTCTAAAGATGTATGTCTTCAGTAAGAGGCTCAGGGTTGAGTGACAGCTGGGGATAGAAAGGACGTAGTGAGAGTCGGACTAACTGGGATTTGTTGAAAAAACGTAAATATAGAATATTTTATAATTCTTTCAAAGTCATAAAGCAATAGCACATCACAAAATGTCATCTGAAATACAAATCTAAACAATTGTTTTTAACGGAACGATATTAATTATATTTAATAATCATGCCTGATCTTTTATCCCTTCCTCTGCTGACAGTTTATAGTAACATCATTCAAATGTTGATATATTCTCTACTAAATAGATTGTCATTATATCCTGGAAAGGTAATCTAATTTGGGAATAATTGATTGGTAAAAACGCACACATTTGATGAACAATAGTAACAGTGATACCTGTGTCTCAGGTAGGGAGGCTAACAGCTGACTTCCCTTTGAACAGTGATCATTAGAGAACATTAGTGAGCTCTGGACCCCTCAGTTCTCCAGGTCCACGGTCCTCAGCTGGTCCTCTTCACTCAGACTGATGGTAGCGATGGCCCCGTCGTTGAACTCAAAGGAAGTCCCGCCGTCGACCACCATGCAGGCGTCCCAGCAGCGCGAGCGCACCGACACCCTGCAGCAGAGGAGGCATCGAAAAACATGTCAGAAGTCGGTTTAACGGTTTGTTTTTTTAAAAGTCAAAACTGATGAACAGCTGCTCAAAGACTGAAGGGTCAACCTTTTGAGAAACTAGGAATCAACAGAGGGGGAAAAAGTACTCAGATGTTGTTCTTCAGTTAAAGTAGAAGTACTCAGATCTTGTACTTGAGTAAAAGTAGAAGTCTTCTACTTTTACTCAAGTACACGATCTGAGTACTTCTACTTTTACTCAAGTATAAGACCTGAGTACTTCAGAAGTACTCAGGTCTTATACTTAAGTAAAAGTAGAAGTACTCAGATCTTGTAGTAAAAGTAGAAGTACTCAGATATTGTACTTGAGTAAAAGTAGAAGTACTCAGATGTTGTACTTGAGTAAAAGTAGAAGTACTCAGATCTTGTACTTGAGTGAAAGTAGAAGTACTCAGATCTTGTACTTGAGTAAAAGTAGAAGTACTCAGATCTGGTACTTGAATAAAAGTAGAAGTACTCAGATCTTGTAGTAAAAGTAGAAGTACTCAGATATTGTACTTGAGTAAAAGTAGAAGTACTCAGATGTTGTACTTGAGTAAAAGTAGAAGTACTCAGATCTTGTACTTGAGTAAAAGTAGAAGTACTCAGATGTTGTACTTGAGTAAAAGTAGAAGAACTCAGATCGTGTACTTGAGTAAAAGTAGAAGTACTCAGATCTTGTACTTGAGTAAAAGTAGAAGTACTCAGATCGTGTACTTGAGTAAAAGTAGAAGTCTTCTACTTTTACTCAAGTACACGATCTGAGGTCTTCTACTTTTACTCAAGTACACGATCTGAGTACTTCTACTTTTACTCAAGTATAAGACCTGAGTACTTCAGAAGTACTCAGGTCTTATACTTAAGTAAAAGTAGAAGTACTCAGATCTTGTAGTAAAAGTAGAAGTACTCAGATATTGTACTTGAGTAAAAGTAGAAGTACTCAGATGTTGTACTTGAGTAAAAGTAGAAGTACTCAGATCGTGTACTTGAGTAAAAGTAGAAGACTTCTACTTTTACTCAAGTACACGATCTGAGTACTTCTACTTTTACTCAAGTACACGATCTGAGTACTTCTACTTTTACTCAAGTATAAGACCTGAGTACTTCAGAAGTACTCAGGTCTTATACTTAAGTAAAAGTAGAAGTACTCAGATCTTGTAGTAAAAGTAGAAGTACTCAGATATTGTACTTGAGTAAAAGTAGAAGTACTCAGATGTTGTACTTGAGTAAAAGTAGAAGTACTCAGATCGTGTACTTGAGTAAAAGTAGAAGACTTCTACTTTTACTCAAGTACACGATCTGAGTACTTCTACTTTTACTCAAGTATAAGACCTGAGTACTTCAGAAGTACTCAGGTCTTATACTTAAGTAAAAGTAGAAGTACTCAGATCTTGTAGTAAAAGTAGAAGTACTCAGATGTTGTACTTGAGTAAAAGTAGAAGTACTCAGATCTTGTACTTGAGTGAAAGTAGAAGTACTCAGATCTTGTACTTGAGTAAAAGTAGAAGTACTCAGATCTGGTACTTGAGTAAAAGTAGAAGTACTCAGATCTTGTAGTAAAAGTAGAAGTACTCAGATATTGTACTTGAGTAAAAGTAGAAGTACTCAGATGTTGTACTTGAGTAAAAGTAGAAGTACTCAGATCTTGTACTTGAGTAAAAGTAGAAGTACTCAGATGTTGTACTTGAGTAAAAGTAGAAGAACTCAGATCGTGTACTTGAGTAAAAGTAGAAGTACTCAGATGTTGTACTTGAGTAAAAGTAGAAGTACTCAGATCTTGTACTTGAGTAAAAGTAGAAGTACTCAGATCGTGTACTTGAGTAAAAGTAGAAGACCTCAGATCGTGTACTTGAGTAAAAGTAGAAGACCTCAGATCGTGTACTTGAGTAAAAGTAGAAGACTTCTACTTTTACTCAAGTACACGATCTGAGTACTTCTACTTTTACTCAAGTACAAGATCTGAGTACTTCTACTTTTACTCAAGTACACGATCTGAGTACTTCTACTTTTACTCAAGTATAAGACCTGAGTACTTCAGAAGTACTCAGGTCTTATACTTAAGTAAAAGTAGAAGTACTCAGATCTTGTAGTAAAAGTAGAAGTACTCAGATATTGTACTTGAGTAAAAGTAGAAGTACTCAGATGTTGTACTTGAGTAAAAGTAGAAGTACTCAGATCGTGTACTTGAGTAAAAGTAGAAGACTTCTACTTTTACTCAAGTACACGATCTGAGTACTTCTACTTTTACTCAAGTACAAGATCTGAGTACTTCTACTTTTACTCAAGTACAAGATCTGAGTACTTCTACTTTTACTCAAGTACACGATCTGAGTACTTCTACTTTTACTTAAGTATAAGACCTGAGTACTTCTGAAGTACTCAGGTCTTATACTTGAGTAAAAGTAGAAGTACCAGAGTGTAGGAATACTCTGTTACAGTAAAAGTCCTGCATTCAAAATGTTCCTCAAGTAAATGTAGAAAAGTATTATCATCAAAATATAGTTAAAGTAGCGACAGTAAAAGTAGTCATTGTGCAGATTGGTCCATTTCAGAATAATATATATGATATGTTTTATAATGATTGATCATGAAAGTGTTCTCAAAGCTGGTAAAGGTGCAGCTAGTTTGAATGACTTTGTATACTGCAGGGTAGCTTGTGGATTTACTCCAGGTGGAACTAAAGTCTAAAGAAGGTTCACTGACTTGCTGGCGAAGCCTCTCTGCCGGCTGCTGGAGAACACTCTGTTGACGATGGGCTCTCTGATGCTGAAGAACATACGTCTGTCGTCCGGGCTGAACACCAGAGACTCGTTGTACAGATCAGTCACTGAGGAGACACACACACACACACACACACACACACACACACAGAGACCATCGTCACATAAAACTACGCGACAGAACATGTTTAATAAATAAGAGGATTATTAACTCACCCTTTTCAATGAATTCACGATTCAGCGGGATATCAAGACCCGTCTGAGACTTTCCTGAAGAAAAAGAAAAGGTGAATTTTAAAAACCTGGTTCCCTTTAGACTTCATTTGAGAATCAGAAGTTGTACGTACCGATGTTGAGAACCTCCTCCACCGCCTGTTCAGCCAGTTTATTGATGTTATATGACCTGAGCAAGCAGACGAGAGGATGCATACAGGATTACTCTTCATATAACTGCAAACATCTCATCTCAACAATTCCAGCTTCCCTCCAGTTAATGTTGGACTCCTCTCATGGCCGTTTAGGTTTAATATGCTGCCTGTTTTTTTATTAAAACTTAATATTTTGTAACTTTACTTCGCTGTCAGCACGCTACATGAGATCCTCCTGTAGTTCAGACATTTTATTTTCCTGCCAAGAGCCACATCAGATGTATGCAGAGAGCACTTAGTTTAATCTGTACAAACACACTAAGATATAATGCACTAGGGCTGTGCAATTAATCGTATTTTGTATTACGATTTTGGCCTGCCACAATTACGAAAACAACATAATCGAAAAAAACGATTATTTTGCTTTGCTAGGTTGTGACTGCACTGCAACATATTTGATCACATTTATTTGTATTTATCATATTTATACATGTTTAGTAGCTTGTTGAAGTGCTCTCCAAAATATTTGTTGATCTTGTTTATTGGTATTTATTATTTTTATATTATTTATTTAAATGTAGATATAAATGTATCATTTATTTTTGTATTGGTTTTTCAGTTGAATTATACGTTATGGGAAAACAGTTAAAAAGATACTGTTCAAATTATTATTTGTATTTCAAAGTTCAATAAATGGATGTTTTCAAAGTCAATGAATAATCGTATTTAATAATCGTGATATCAATTATTGACCAAAATAATTGTGATTATGATTTTTGCCATAATCGCACAGCCCTATAATGTACATTTTAAATCAGTGAGCTTTAGAGGAGCTGCTATTGTTCTACCTTTGGACTGTACTTCTAGTTTCAGGCTGGAGCCACACGAGAACGGTAACGCAAACTAAACGAATTCCATATCAAAAAAGTCTTCCGTCCGCACGCAACAGGCACCAGAAACGTGTCCGTTCACTCGAAAGCGCTGGAGACGCTGTAGTACATATGCCAGGCCTGTAAGTGGCGCTGTACTTCCGCCACAAAATACACCAAAAGCAGCGAAGAAGACTTCCCGCTCATGGTTGCCATGGTTGCCATGGTTGCCCTTCTGTTTATTCTCCGCTGTGGACGCTCTGGCTCTTTTTTCTCCCTCCCCGAGGCGAGCGTTTGCTCCTGCTGTAATTCTCTCCGGTAGTCCACCACCAGATGACAAACCCCCACCTCTCCGCCTCTTCCAAGGGACGAGGGGACCGTGCGGCAGAGTTTCAGTTAGATTTCTTTCTCGCCGGTCAACATGTCCGTTAAAGTTTCCGGACAACATTTGAAAAGTGCCGGTCAGAGGTCTTCTTTGTTATTTATTGAGCTTTAAAACAAATTGATAGCAGCTGATCTCTGAGCAGGAGAGGTGGGGAGAGGCGGGGCTATTGCTTCATCGTTAGCAGGAAATGATCGTATAGGGCAGTGATTCTCAAATGGGGGTACGCGGACCCCTGGGGGTACGTTGGGGTACTGCAGGGGGTACGTGAGATTTAAAAAAATTAATTAAAAAAAGGTTAATACCAAAAAGGTTAAAAAAAATACCATGTATGATTACAAAAATAATCTTAGTACAATAAGCTAAATAGAAAACACAATTTTATATAAAATATTCCTAGAACCACCAAGGGGGTCCTCATATAAACATGTCAAATGTGTGTATTGTATTTTATAGTTTTTCACAATATATCATTTTGTTCATTGGTTTGTTAAACATATTACTTCAATTGAAAAACTCCTTGGAAAAATCTATTTTATAAAAATGTCATTATGTTATTTTTTTTCATGCATGAAGATGAAAATATCCTTAGTTTGTTGTAATTCATGCACGAAGGAGTTAATAAATCACACACTGAGGGAACATCACTATATTGTAATTATTTATATAGGCTTTTTCTATCAAAAATGTTCGGGGTCGGTCAGGGGGTACTTGGCTGAGAAAATGTTTCAAAGGGGGTACATTACTGAAAAAAGTTTGAGGAGCACTGGTATAGGGCGTAGACCCGGAGCCGCTTGGCCCCCCAGAGCGGTTTGTCCCCAGATCTACCCACCTTGGGACCCGTTATCTGCGTTTCCCCGTCGGCCTCGTGTGGCCGAACCGTCTATAATGATAGAGAACTGTAGCGGATATGACCGTTACCGTTCTCGCGTGGCTGCAGCGTCATACTTATCATATACAATCTCCTCATCCAACTAGAAACATTCCTTTGTGTTTCTTACCTATGTTTGTACAATTGGAGGAAGACAACTGAAAACATGAAGTCTTAAATCCCTCTGAAGCCTCCTCTATTGTTCACAGTGACAAATGATAATGGAGTTTTCCCACAGGCCTACTTTTGCACCGGAGAATTCACATTACTGCAGGATCACAGTCTTTGTGCATGCCTCCAAATGTGGTTGACCACCGCTTGAACTGACAGAACTAATGCCTTCTGTCTCTCAGATGCTACAACTTATTTGTATCTTATGGAAATAAAGAAATGTCTTTATTAGACTTTGATTTCTGGTTTGAAATGTAAACATATTTTACTGAAACTGTCTCTTAGGCGCTGATGTTACCCATGACCATTTCTACCTTAACCTTCCCTCTCTTAAATGAACATTTGAAGAGGATGAAACTCTGGTATATAGTGCACTTTTTACAGTATGTTACACAAAGATACAATTCATAGAAACAACATAAGAAAACACACTTCAAATATATAAACCACAAATCAATAAGTGCAGTCGAGTGGATTTACCAGGCTTTGGATCCTGTTCCTGTGCAGATGCTGAGACCTGAGCTCTTCTGCTTCTCCCACGGCCCGTCGTCCACAGAGATCTCATAGTAGGAAGCCCTATGGAGCAAGAGTTTAACATGCGGTTTGATCGAGTTTAACTCCACCCTGTGGTGGACAGAGATTGCACCGGTGAGTTCTGCATACTGGCAGGGTGACAGTAGGGAAACAACATGACACCAATCAACTGGTTTAGACGTTCATCAGACAGGATGACAGGTACCTGGAGGACAGAGACTCTCCGATGAAGATCTCATTCAGGCTTCTGATCGGCAGCAGATTAGGCTTGGAGAAGCTCTCGTATGGATTTCCTGTCCCTGTGAAATATCACTGAATTAGTAGAGAAACATCGAGAGAGTAGAAACATTGATTTGGTTGATGTGCCCATAAAATCCTCAAGCCAGCGGGGATTATCAGACAACATGTGGCTCCAGCAGAGCTCTTTTTAAGGACGTGGGAATATCAGCTGGGGCCTCATTTATAACGCCTTGCGTAGGATTGACGTGAGAAGGTTGCTTACGTAGTACAAAGCAAAAAAATAGGTACAGACATTTTCCGATTCACAAAACATTGCGTACCGGCGTAGGAAGTGCGTACCGGCACTTCATACGCCTGTTTTCCTTTATAAATCACAATCGACTCGAAATGGGGCGCAGCTTTTGCGGGCTTCACGTAACGCCCATATTTGCCTATACATAGTCAAAGAAACGCCCATTCATTCATTCATTTTGACTGACTGCATGAAGAAGATCGCAGGAAATGACGACAGAACAGCTAAAAAAGACATCTCACACCGAGTCAGATTTAGGTTATTGTGGGGAGGTGGAGATAAATCATATTGTTTGATGGATGCAGGTTGAACCAGAGTAGCAGCATGGAGGTCGGATCGTCACCAAAATAAATAAATAAGTGGTCCGAAAAAAGTTAATGACAAAAAAAATACACATAGCCTTCCTCAGGCAGTGTGTTTGTCCCGGGGACAGGAGACCCCCCCTTGATGAGAAACTGTAAGAAATGATGGGGGAATCCCTCCGGAGTGTAGTCATGACGACTGGATCTAAATTATTTTGTTGTATTTGGTGGTTTGTGTTCCAGCTGTCGATCAGCAACTATATATCCATAATCCACCAGTTAAAGGAAATACAATGTGTTGTGTTATATTAGCTGTACAATTTACCACATATGGTGTTCTTAGTTTCCGTACCTCCTGTGTTTTACGAGCGACTTATCAAGTCTTGGCAAACGGCATAAAACACGATTAAACGTGATAGTATATAAAACCATGCTCGTATCTACAACCTATAGAAATGCAAAACGGCGTCAGTTTAGACGTAATTCTGTCCTCCTGCTTATCGCATCATTTATGAGAAAACATTTCATAACATTAACACAACATATTCGAGGTGGTTTTAAATAACATATCCGTATTTATTTATTTCTCCAAGTTATGTTTTTGTGTGCACTGAGGAGTCTCAAACAGGCGTTTGTTTAATCATTTAAAGATTGGCTTTAATCAATGTTTGAAACTGAATTCTTCATATTTGATAAATGAGAGGTAACATTTTATTTATGGTATTATTTCCACATATTTCTCTCCATTCTTCCTTCTGCCAACGAGGTCGCAGTTTCTCGTCTCTCCCGTTTGTGTGCTTAGTGCGTACGCATGGGTTAGAGTTTGCGTGGAGGACAGCACATTTTCCCGTCAAGTTAGTATTTTATAAATCGCAAACATTGCGTAGAAACTGGCGTACGCCATTTTTTGAGCGTATATCCCTTTATAAATGAGGCCCCTGATCATGGACTGACAAATCTCAGTGTTAACATCTGTAATTAACACTGAGTGCAGGAGGCAGAAAAACACATCATCTGTCTAGAGCCCAGTCACACCTTTAGTTCAGTATTGATCGAGGGTCCCTTTTGAATTTCTGTACTTGAAATCAAACTCAATATCCAGGTTCCAACAGAGTTCACTCATAACCAATCTAACTCAACTTCAACTCGTGTAAATCAGTGATTGACACCATCATAGTTCTTGGAAACGGGGTCTTACTGAGCCGGCTGTCCATGGTGGTGATTCTGTGCGCCTGGCTGTGTTGCTCCAGGCTCATCTGCTGCTCGTGCAGGTCCACGGGCGTCGGGTTGATTCCCGTCCCCTCTAAGTGCAGACGGATCCTCTGACGCCACAGCCACCTGCAGAGAGAGAGAGAGAGAGATACACACACACACCTTTTTAAAACACCAGTGAGAACCGATCGACTCTCTACGTTTTGTTAGAAGGCTAAAAAAATAAGATCCAAATGTAAACAGCAAACCAACAGATATTCACTTTCTTAGTCTCTTTTATGGCTCAGTCTCAGAAATGTGTGAGAACTACATTTCCCACAATGCAACTTGATCCTATTTGTATTAGACCCTTACTACCTGGTCCCAGTTCGTAACGAATGCCATTCAAAATCGACTTGTTACACTGGTTATCTGTTGTCATGGCGATCAAGTATACATCTCTTAGTTGTGAACAAGAAAACATTATACATATATTCATAGATGATTGGAAGGTACTAATATAAAAACACTTTAGGATATAGGTCTGCTTTATTGGACTAACTTGAGGGTCAACAACCTTAACATAATTAATGTTTGAGGCTGACACAATTTAAATACATCCAACAATCATGTCTGAAACACGCCTATGAGACGGTTGTCTTAAAAACTGCTTACATAATGACTTCTATTGTATTTTAGGGACATAAGCAAGATAAATGTGTCGTAACCTAGACAACACAAGTGAAACCAGGTGATAATCCAAAAGGATATCTGATCTGCAAATCAATTATTAAAGGGGAGGTTTACTAATCAAGTCAATTGTATTTATATAGCCAAATATAGGGGCTATATAACATACAACACCTGCTGTCTCGTTTAACCCTCGTTTAAGATAAAGGCTTCTGAACTCTCATGTAAAAAAACACAATGTCATTTGCAATTCAATCAAATCTGCAGAGCGTTTAGAGTAAATCTCAGGTACAGTGATAGGAAGGACTTGAGTCATTTAGAGACGGGACACTGTAACTGGATTTAAAATATCCCACAGAGTCTGGACACACATTGGGGAGGTTTTAGTAACCATGTGACTTTTTTCCAGACAACACAGCTTTAAACTTGTCATGACCTCCGAGTTAATAGCAAAGAAGCAGCTCTAAGTTGTTTACTTGTTTACAGACGGCAGCTGGGAGTCATTTGGGAGATTCTCTCTATATATAGATGACTCGACGACTGCATACAAGCTACAGAGGACACACAGGGCAGCATGGACGTCCCAACATTACAGTGCTATGATTATCTGTGGATAAATACGCACCTGAACTCACCACAACAGAGCTTCTTCAGGGCCTCTGGGAAGGCATGAGTGTAGCGCACGGGCAGGCACAGATGACCTTCTGACCTGGGGTGCAAACACACGTGGGAGGAATGCTGAATGCTAACAATGAGGAGGAATGACAGTATATGTGTTTTACTGTAGTGAGAGTAATCAATTACTGTAAGGAATCTGTGAATAACTGCAAAATATACTTCTACTTTCACACGTCTTCTACATGCTATACATATCAATATGTCTGATTGTTTTAAGCCCCTCCCCTAAAGTGCTGTAGAGTGGTTTACCTTTCAGGGTCCGTGTTCACTCCAACAACTGGTTTGTCTTTGCTTAAAACCTTACTGGCAACAAGAAGCATTGTCCCGTCACCTGACAAAACAAACTGCAGTCAGTGGACGTGCTTTGTGAACTCTGAAGCCTTTGTTCATGTGGCTTTTTGCACCCCGGTTACAATAAGTGAAAGTCCGGCAGCGGTGGAGAGCAACCAAGTACATTTACTCAAGTTCTGAACTCAAGTACACATTTGAGGTACTTGTACTTAACTTGAGTATTTTCTTTAAAGGTCTCCTATTATGCAAAATCCACTTCTCCATGTCTCTTCTACATCAACATGTGTCCCCTCTTCTTCATGTCTCTTCTACATCAACATGTGTCCCCTCTTCTTCATGTCTCTTCTACATCAACATGTGTCCCCTCTTCTTCATGTCTCTTCTACATCAACATGTGTCCCCTCTTCTTCATGTCTCTTCTACATCAACATGTGTCCCCTCTTCTTCATGTCTCTTCTACATCAACATGTGTCCCCTCTTCTTCATGTCTCTTCTACATCAACATGTGTCCCCTCTTCTTCATGTCTCTTCTACATCAACATGTGTCCCCTCTTCTTCATGTCTCTTCTACATCAACATGTGTCCCCTCTTCTTCATGTCTCTTCTACATCAACATGTGTCCCCTCTTCTTCATGTCTCTTCTACATCAACATGTGTCCCCTCTTCCTCATGTCTCTTCTACATCAGCATGTGTCCCCTCTTCTTCATGTCTCTTCTACATCAACATGTGTCCCCTCTTCTTCATGTCTCTTCTACATCAACATGTGTCCCCTCTTCTTCATGTCTCTTCTACATCAACATGTGTCCCCTCTTCTTCATGTCTCTTCTACATCAACATGTGTCCCCTCTTCTTCATGTCTCTTCTACATCAACATGTGTCCCCTCTTCTTCATGTCTCTTCTACATCAACATGTGTCCCCTCTTCTTCATGTCTCTTCTACATCAACATGTGTCCCCTCTTCTTCATGTCTCTTCTACATCAACATGTGTCCCCTCTTCTTCATGTCTCTTCTACATCAACATGTGTCCCCTCTTCTTCATGTCTCTTCTACATCAACATGTGTCCCCTCTTCTTCATGTCTCTTCTACATCAACATGTGTCCCCTCTTCTTCTACATCAACATGTGTCCCCTCTTCTTCATGTCTCTTCTACATCAACATGTGTCCCCTCTTCTTCATGTCTCTTCTACATCAACATGTGTCCCCTCTGTGTAAAGAGACTCTGAAAGTTTCAGGAACAAAGATTCTCTCTCTTTTTGTCCTGATCCATTTGTCTGAAAATGAGCTGATCAGATTTTGGCCACTTGATGATGTCATAACGATGTTTTGGCTTGTGTAACCATTAGCCAATCAGCAACCAAGGTAACCCCCCCACCTTATCACCTGAATCTCCTCCTAGAGCACCATTAGGCGCTTTCACACCGGAGTACTTTTCCCGTTTAGTTCCGATAGTTCCTGGGATTTTGCGTTCACACCAAAAAGAGAACTTAGTTCATGAGAACTTTTCACCCCCTTTTTAGTTCCTGCTAGAGAGCAGGTGGACAGAGTTGGGTGTAACACGTTACAAAGTAACGGAGTAATGTAACGCGTTACTTTTATAATTCAGTAATCACACTACAGTTACCTACTAACATAAAGAATTACTAGATTCTCCCTTTGACAGACAAGAGGGATTTCCGCCGCAGGTTTATATTTACGTAACATTTGCGCGACTTGCGCGTCCACATGCAGAGCATAAACATGGCTGAGTCAACAGTGATAACTTTCGAGGGGTGGAGGTCTGCCCATTATTTTGAGTTCGTCCGAAGAAAGGACAGGAATGTGACGCTGAGGTGCAAACTGTGTCCAGGCCAGAAGCTTTTATCCACTGCTGCAAACACAACGTCAAACCTCAACAAGCACCTGCAAAGACAACATGCTAACTTGAAGCTAATAGCTAAGGAGGACCTCCGAATCCAGAGTGAGGATGTCGAGTAAAGTAACGAATAAACAGCAAACACGCAAAGTTATATGATGAGGCCCTCTGTGTCCCGCGTCGACGGGGGGGGGGGGGGTGCTAGTGGAGCCTCGCAGCGGCGAGAACTGTGGCGCGCTTACACCGTAGGTGCGCCGCATTTGCGCTTCAGATGAGGCTCCCTCCGCAAAATGAAGCACCCTCCGCAGTCTGCGTGATCTGCCTGTAGGGACTGAGGGGTGGCCCTGCGTGTAAAGTAACGCGTTACTTTATGTAGAGAGTAACGAAGTAAAGTAATATATTACTTTTTTTTAAAGTAATATATTACTTTTTTAAAAGTAATATGTAATATATAACTTTTTTTGAGTAACGACCCCATCTCTGGCGGTGGAGTGATGAGGAGGTGTCGGGCGTTCTGGCGATTTACTCGGAAGGCTTCAGTAGAAGCTGCTGGGACTCCCAGCAGCTTCTACTGAAGCCAGTCCCTAACTCCGGGGACTTCAGGCCGGGGACTCCGGGTGGCAGTATACGCCGTGAAGTTGTTTGCGGCCTGCCAGTAAACCCAAAGCAGAAGAAGAAGAAGTGACGTCAGCGGCTCATTTGCCTAATCCTCCCTCAGGGAACTTATTCCGGTGTGAATGCGATCGGCTCTTAGTTCCATGGGGGTACTAAGAGCTGGGAACTAAGTGCGGCAAAGTACTTGGTGTGAAAGCGGCTATTGTGTTCTTTGTAACCAAATGTCTCTCAGAGGGGCGTGGGGAGGGGCTCCTTATTTTCATCTAAAGTAACAGACAGAGAATCAGCACTTTGGAAACAGGGCTGAAACAGAGGGGATTATGGGATGCTGCAATGATCCGTTTGGTGTTTCAGCCAATCAGAGACAGGCTCTGTATATATCTGAGACCTGTGATATATTGATGAAGAAGAGTAGAATAGGGGACCTTTAAAGTAAAGTCTGATCTATCTTTATCTCCACAGGTGCTGCTGTTATTTTGTGTACAATTATTTCACAGTTCCAGCTTTTGAAATGTGAAGATGTAAATTGTACTCCTAAAACCTAAAGTACATTTTCCTGATCATGCTTAAATACTTTTACTTAAGTACCATTCTCGAAGCAGTACTTTTACTTGTAACAGAGTATTTTTAGGTTGCAGTAATAGTACTTTTACCTAGGTTAAGGATCTGATTCGGAGACAGTTTCTTCCCGCGGGCAGTTGGACTGTTAAAAAATTGAACTGTTGAAACAACTTCAAAACATTCATCTGCTACTCAATAATATGTATCTAATACCTAATATATATATATATATATATATATATATATCATTCCAATAACTTGTATATAGACTTGTATTACACTATTCCACATCATCACTTTATTTTATAACTATTTTTCTTTTTGTATTGCTCTTGCTCTTATTGTTATTATGTTATTATGTTGCATTGTTGGAGAAGCCTGTGACATAAGATTTTCAACTACATAATTACTCTGTAACTATGTCAGATTGACAATAAAGAACCTTGAACCTTGATCTCAGCTGTGAAGTCCTGCTTTAGATAGTACATGAAGCCTGGGCACAGCAGTTGGTGTTCAAGGAGGATTATTTATTACGTTGTTAACAGATAGCTTAGATATTAAGCATGTTAATTTATCCAATATATCATATTCCAATTACTTGTATATAGACTCTCCTTGCACTATTTCCATTCTATTTTTATTTGTATTTACTATTTTATCTGTGTTATTGTGTTGCTCTGTTGTAGGAGTCTGTGACCTCAGATTTTCATTGATATATCTACACTGTACAGTAGCTATGTGCACATGACAATAAAAGCCTTGAATCTTGAATGTTTACAAATGTTGACTTTCCTTCAATATAATATTCATAACTGTACAAACAAAGCTCTTATTGAGGTTCCTACCTCCAGCAGAGATGATGGCATCGGCCCATCGGACCACTTCTTCATCATATTCTCCCCTCTTCACAATCCGTACCTCAATGCCTTTGCTCCTGCAAACACAACATGATGAAACAGTTTTAATAGTAGATTTAAAAAGAGCCGAGCTTTCCTGTCTGCTCTGGGGTTATCTGGGGAATCTCACCGCAGGCTCTTCACAATGTGCTCCACGTTGTTGGTGTGTATTTTGTGTCTTTCCTGCAGGCCGCTGTAGCTGGAGCCCTTCAGAGCGAGCTGCAAAACACACACACGAGATGTAGAAGAAACAGGTAAGAGGTTGTTTACCGTCAGAGGTCACAGTCTAAAGGCAGCTGTGGAAGTACACTGACTTAAGTACTTAAGGTCCTTAAGTGTTATTTTGACATAATAATCATTTCTACTACTTTCTTCTCTACAAAATGTCAGAGGCAAATTAAGTACTTTTTACTCCACTACAGTTAGTATACACGTATAGTTACTTTTTTTCATATAATAATAACACGTGCTTATGTGATATGATAATTACTTTACTGCTTATCAACTGTGTATTTTGTGAAGTCTCTAGAAATGGCTCCACATTGACAAACTACATTAAAATGATATGACACTTACTGTATCTGTTAGTTTTTCTTATTATTATTCTTATTATAATTATTCTTATTATAGGCAATTTGAGACTTCTGTTTTAAGGAATGAGCTATAAACGCTTTTTGTAACACAATACATTAAACACAGGGTCTGTGTATATACTCATGTACTTATATACATACTGAAATGGGCATTTGAGCAGAATAAATACTTTTTGACGTAAATACTTTTGTACTCAACCAAAACATTTGAACTCAGTATTTTTGTACTTGTAAATCAAGTATTTTAAGACCGTTAGACTTTTGCTCAGGTAAAGGGTCTGCTCTGCCTGAAGCAACACATTTGAACTCAGTATGTTTTACTTGTAATCGAGTATTTTAAGACCATTAGACTTTTGCTAGGGTAAAGGTGAAGGAGAATCACTCACCAGGTGTTTGAGGTCCTCTTCAGAGAGCCCTGCATACAGGTATCGCTGCTGCTCAAACTCATACCTGGTGGTCTTTGTAACCACTGCTACTTTCTCAGGTTTGAATCCAGCTTTAGGCAGCGAGGAGGCGTGTTTTAGTGAAGAGTGAAAGGTCTGAAGTGAGTTTCCATTCAGCAGACTGACAGCTCGAGTCCCTAGACCCAGCAAGTTCACCACCGAGCGGCGAGGCATTCTCACAACAAGTGACCACACACCCATAAACTCAATCACATGTCCAATTAACAGGTTACTGAGGACTCTCTGCTGTTACATACTGCGTTATATGTCAGTCCTCTGGTCAGATTAGGTTAATTCACTGAATTTGGAAAGCCCAAATAAAGTCACACCACGCCCAGCTGCCAGGGAAGGTCACCAGTCCTGTCAATCAAGCTATAGTTACCCGTTTATGACTCCAAAATATGCCTTTACCAAGTGGAGTATTTCCTCAGAGATTCACCGAAAACACAATTCAGCTCGCAGTTTAACTGACGTTAGTAACCATGCCAACCGTATTTGGTCAGGTTAAAAGACAGCGTTACGAGCTGAGCTCAACAAGCTAAACGAAGCTAGCAGTTTGCTTTCAAGGCTTCCTACGAACTGTAACGGCTGGGTTCACTCTTTCCACACACCACACACAGCTCTGCCTCATTACTCAAGTCCAGAAGAGTTCAAACTGGAGCTGAAACACCTGAGCTGAAGAATTAACGACAACACAAGAAACTCTGGCAGCACTGCACGTCCCATGAAGGTTGGCACGTAGTAGCCTGGGTTTACGTACGCGACGTAACTTCCTATTGGCTGCGCGCCTGTCAGTCAAATAAGTTTTGTTTTGGCTGACAGCACGCCCGTGATCCATGATGCGTTCAAAGACACGCGTAAGACTGGGAAAAGTCATATATAAAATACTAGCAGAAAAAAACTGTTCGTTGTAGCTTTCAGTGATAAATAAGCCCAAATGTGGCCGATATCAGGATTTTAAAAGTGGGCCAACTGAGGCCCCGAGTCACCCAGACACCTAGATAAAGTATTTCAATTGTAATAGTTGTTAAACACTTAAAATCCTTATGTATGTCTTTGATGAAAGGCCAAAACGTACATCTAAATATATTTTATCTCAAATGTTATTAGCTTATAAAACACCCACCATGGTTTTCTAGAAATTCCTAGAATGGGTATGACTTCAATGAAAGCTATGACCCTTCAATTTCTTTCAGGCAGATTGACCTTTGACATTTCCTTTGTTATGCCCTTCAAAGAGGGGTATTGGCTTTGCCCAAAAATACTGACTACGTTTTCTTTTTTTCGTCATTCACTGAATGTAAATGTTAACGTGTAGGTGTAACTGTAAAAAGCAGAAGTAGAGGGGCTTTAAGCCTCTTACTCTGTGAAACTAATATATGATGAAGAAATATTGGGCCTTGGTTTGACTGGTGTAAATTACTCTGTACCTGAACACAACAATGATGGACAGCATGAAGCAGAGCAGCACATGTGTTATTATCACAGCCTATAGGGTTGATAATGGCATACTGCAAACTGCACCCTAGTTCCACTTCCTTACTTGCAACATTGATCACATGCTTTTGACCACAAACTGGAAAAACAGTGTCCAAAAAAACAGTTTCAGTCTGAGACAAAATGACATAAAAGACACTTTTAGGAATTCACAGTATTTAAGAAAAGAGGGCTGTTGCTGAGGCGTTACAACACCTCCATCTGGTTTCAAGAGTTTTAAGAGTCATATGCAGGTTTATGATGCTGCTTCTTAAGACCTGGATGAACTTACTGTGACATCTTACATTTGTTTTCGTGAGGTTATGCTGACTAATGTGCCCTGATATACATCTTTTTAAAGCAGACATTTTATTCACAGCAGGAGAGGCTCAAGCAATACTTATTACATTAATGACTTTGTTCAGTTCAAGTGTCAGGACAGAGAGATGGTGAGCCAACACCAGGACACTGAAACTGAGGCAGCTCGATGGAATTTAGCCATAATCTATTTCAATATGTACACCTGTCTTACTGTCACATATCAAAAAACGTTGGGTGAAAAATACCCGTTATTTAATCATCAGCTTACAAGATTCACACCTGACGCCTCCTCCCCAGATTAAAGGGTGAAAACCAACCCCAGGTTTTTTTTTTTCACCTCACTATGTTTGTGGTGTTTTTGGTTTTGTGTCTGTAATTCTTAAATCTTCCACATAGCTCTTGCTCATCATGGCAGAGGGCTACAGTGCTTCTTCAGATACAGCCACACCACACACTTGGACTTTTAGTGGGATTTGAGTTATTTTTGGGGAGATATACATCGTTTTGTTTTTTTGAAAAATCCTAGTCCTCACTTTGACTTCTGCTAACTGTGTCTGTTTTCTGTATTTTTGACATTTTTGTAGCTGCTACTAGGGTAAGGTATTCACAATCCCTGTGTTTCTCTCCAACACACAAGAAAGCACAGGCAGTATGAGAAAAATAAAGACCTTTTTGAACATTAAAGCATGGAGACATGTCCCAGAGACACTGAATACTGATATACACCTGAACATCAGCAGGAGAGGACTCTTTAAAGTAGAGACACTACATACTGATATACACCTGAACATCAGCAGGAGAGGACTCTTTAAAGTAGAGACACTAAATACTGATATACACCTGAACATCAGCAGGAGAGGACTCTTTAAAGTAGAGACACTACATACTGATATACACCTGAACATCAGCAGGAGAGGACTCTTTAAAGTAGAGACACTACATACTGATATACACCTGAACATCAGCAGGAGAGGACTCTTTAAAGTAGAGACACTACATACTGATATATACCTGCACATCAGCAGGAGAGGACTCTTTAAAGTAGAGACACTACATACTGATATACACCTGAACATCAGCAGGAGAGGACTCTTTAAAGTAGAGACACTACATACTGATATACACCTGAACATCAGCAGGAGAGGACTCTTTAAAGTAGAGACACTACATACTGATATACACCTGAACATCAGCAGGAGAGGACTCTTTAAAGTAGAGATACTACATACTGATTTCCACCTGAAAAGGAGCATCTTATGTCCTCTTTAGATATGCAGACTGAAAGATTAATTTAAGGGTCTACACTATACTATTCTCTACTGAAGAACTAACACAAGTACATTTCTGAGACGTTTCAATCACTTACAGAAATGATTCATTCATTGGTGTAACACAGAGTAGGGAATAGTGTTTGTACGAGGCTTTATGACCTGATTTGAGGGGTATTCTTCACTAATTATATTCATCTTCACCAGGGAATATTTCCCATACAGTGAGGTCACTTTATACAGTACAAGCTCTACTTCTTCAGCTAATTGTGGTGTGTCATTTACTCTGCGGAATAACCTCAAACTATAACACGTCCCCAGTGAGCTGATGTGTATCAGTTAAACCTGCTTATTGGTTTATGATATACACAATATGTGTCTGTATAAGGTATAAGGTACAGACTCTACTTAATCAGGAGGAGATGAGGAAAAAGGAAAGTGAGGATGAGGAGAGCTGAGGAAGATGTCTTGCTCTCTATATTTATTTTTAGTTTTGTAATTATCAATTTACAATAACTTACTTATTGACTTGTTTACACTTTTTACTGCCTTGACCGTATTGTTCTTGTATTTGTATGGTAATGTATTGTTTTGTAAGCGTACTGTTCAATGTATCATAGGTCCAATTTATAGTCACTTTATATATTAAAAGTTTTAGCTTGTATTGTCAAAATGACACTTATGCACCATCGGGAATGCTTGGAATTTCGCTGTACTGTGTGTAGTGACAATAAAGGAATCTAATCTAATCTAATATGGACCGCTCCATAATAACTGTCTGATGATTTCTGTAACAACTCTCAACAAAGTTTTGACATCTGGGCTTCACCTGAAACTGTGTCACAGGGCTAACAGTGTTATTGTGGGAGGACCATTTTCTAATTCCCTCCCCTCTCTCTCTCTCTCTCTCTCTCTCCTCTCTCTCTCTCTCTCTCTCTCTCTCTCTCTCCTGGATGTCTTCCCTCCCTGTTTCCAATCACCATAGATCCATGAGACTCACTTTGATTCCTCCACACACTCTTCCTGTTGGAGCTCCATCCTCCATCTTCCTGCAGATCTGAAGAACTCACACACACCTGAAGAGGTTTGTGATTAATACGCTTTCATTCTGTTGTGCTTTAAATGTTTTGAGGTACGAAGGGGTGACATGCAGCTTTTACCTGGGTTCATCTTATTTTGATCACATAGTTGATTATTTGAATAGAAAGGAAATAAATATGAGTCTAAGAAGTACAAGAAGGTGTGCAAAAATAGACAGAGGTGTAAAGTAACTAAGTGCATTTACTCTACAGTACCTAAGTACAATTTTGAGGTACTTGTACTTTACTTGAGTATTTCATGTTATGCTACTGTGTACTTCTACTCCACTACAGTTCAGAGGTACATGGTGTACTTTTACTCCACTACATGTATTTATACCTTTAGTTACTTTACAGATGTGGATGAATGATGTGAAATATAATCAAGTGTTAAATCAGACTTTAGTTCCACCTGGAGTAAATCCACAAGCTACCCTGCAGTATACAAAGTCATTCAAACTAGCTGCACCTTTACCAGCTTTGAGAACACTTTCATGATCAATCATTATAAAACATATCATATATATTATTCTGAAATGGACCAATCTGCACAATGACTACTTTTACTGTCGCTACTTTAACTATATTTTGATGAGAATACTTTTATACTTTCACTTGAGGAACATTTTGAATGCAGGACTTTTACTGTGACAGAGTATTCCTACACTCTGGTACTTCTACTTTTACTCAAGTACAACATCTGAGTACTTCTACTTTTACTCAAGTACAAGATCTGAGTACTTCTACTTTTACTCAAGTACATGATCTGAGTACTTCTACTTTTAGTCAAGTAGAAGATCTGAGTACTTCTACTTTTACTCAAGTACAAGATCTGAGTACTTCTACTTTTACTCAAGTACAAGATCTGAGTACTTCTACTTTTACTCAAGTATAAGACCTGAGTACTTCTACTTTTACTCAAGTACAAGATCTGAGTACTTCTACTTTTACTCAAGTACAAGATCTGAGTACTTCTACTTTTACTACAAGTACAAGACCTGAGTACTTCTACTTTTACTAAAGTACAAGATCTGAGTACTTCTGCTTTTACTCAAGTACAAGATCTGAGTACTTCTACTTTTACTCAAGTACAAGATCTGAGTACTTCTACTTTACTCAAGTACAATATCTGAGTACTTCTACTTTACTCAAGTACACGATCTGAGTACTTCTACTTTTACTCAAGTACAAGATCTGAGCACTTCTACTTTTACTCAAGCACAAGATCTGAGCACTTCTACTTTTACTCAAGCACAAGATCTGAGTACTTCTACTTTTACTCAAGTATTTATAGACCTCAGCTTGCTCTACGCCAAAACCTGTATTGCATTGCTTTGGAAAAAAGGCTCACAGCACAATTATCACTCATTGGTTGCGACGGATGCTGTCAGGCCTTCCATTGGAGGAGATATCCTATATATTTATGTCCAGACAGCATGTGTTTAAAAACATATGGAGGCCCTTCATTAACGGCCCGTCCACACGGCGGCGTGCGTTGAAGCTTCAACGCTTCTGCCCATTCACTTTGAATGGGGTGACGTCACGTTTCGCCGAACTGCATTGTGGGAGCGAAGCGTAGCTTCAGAAGCGTTGCTCGCTGCAAAAGTTGAGCAATGTTCAACTTTTGAAGCTTCGGCGGAAGCGTCAGCCAATCGAATCATATGCCAGTACAAGCTCTAGCCAATCAAACCGCGTGCTTGTGTGTCCGGGGCGGGAGATTCATGTGATTGGTTGTTGGTCGAGTTTCAGCCCCCCCCACCGGCAAGCTTCAACGCACGCCGCCGTGTGGACGGGCCGTAAGGATCTGAATGTATCTAAAGGTCAAGAGGATGCATAATGTTTTAATATGATTGCCTTGTCTATATTAATAGAACAATAATGTCATTATTAGCTAATGAATGTTTCCATGCTGAACAACGGCAACATGACAACGTTTTCATTGGTCCCTCTTCTTTAGAGAAGACCAGGAAATGATGGATACACGGATCGTGTTCAAATCAATAGGCACGCAATGACTCTAAATAATAATGATCACGCCACCAAACACACATTCAAACTAAAGGAACCAGCCTGTTTGGAAAATGTGAGAAGTAGAAAGTACAGGTATTTGTGTTCAACATGTAAGAAGTAGAAAGTACAGGTATTAGGGTTCAAAATGTAAGAAGTCAAAGTTAAAAGTCATCAGAAAAATAAGTAGTGGAGTAAAGTACTGATACCAGAAAAATTTACTTGAGTACAGTAACGAAGTATTTGTACTCCATACTTCCCACCTCTGTTGTTATTGTTGTATCTGCTTGTTGCCAGTATGAACTGATGTGCATGTCTTTCTCACAGCAGGATGCAGCGCTTCAGAGAAGGCATTCACATCCGGACGATGAAGGCCAAGAGGAAAGTGGAGGAGATCTCCAAAGAGAACGTCCAGGCTTTCTTCAAGAAGAACGCCTTTGTTCTCTTCACAGTGGCAGCAGTTGTCGTTGGTGTGTATCCCTCTGCAATATTAAAGGTCCTCTATTATGCAAAATGCACTTTTTGCAAGATGTGTCCCCGGTGTGTCAGGGAACTCACGCAGCGTCAGAAAATAAAACCCTCTCTCTTTTCCTCCGTATCCAAATCTCTAAAAACGGGGGAACAACAGAGCTGATCCAGATTTGCGTCCGATATGATGTAATATCTGAAATGTGGGCGGGCTTTACACCCACGGCCCTATCAGAAACGTTGCTATCAGAAACCATGCGTGACGTGTTTTGGACGTAATATGGTCTGTGTTGACATTAGCATCGCTAACACTCAGAGCTAACCTGTACTGGAGAGAGTATGTGTAAAGAAGCAGGAAATAAAAAAAGTATACTCACCTATTGGTAAACCTTTTTTGAGCTCCATACTTCTATTAGAATCAGCACTTTAGTAACAGGGCTGAAATAGAGGGGTATGAGGCATGGCTAGAATGGGTGATCTGTTTGGTATTTTGAGCAAAACACTTCATAGACATGTTTTTATATATCTGAGATCTATAATATATGCCTACAAATAGTATAATAGGAGACCTTTAATGCAAACGTCTGAGACCTGTTACAGTCTGTGTCTGCATTACGTTAACAACACTGACTTGTCAATGCATCAAAGACTCCTTACTCTCTCTCTCTCTGCAGGTATCATTCTGGGATTCGCGCTCCGTCCGTATAAGATGACCTATCGAGAAGTGAAGTACTTCTCTTTCCCCGGAGAGCTGTTGATGAGAATGCTCCAGATGCTCGTTCTCCCCTTACTGGTCTCCAGTCTGATAACAGGTAACACACATTGCATCATACAGGTCACTGCTGTGCACTTCACTTTGCTCTGGATTCAGTTTCCCTCCAGTCAGCCAAAAAAATAATTGGAATACGATGGAAACCCCCACATACTTTATTTATTAAAGGTCCCATGTCATGGCCATTTCTACTGATCATATTTCCATTGTTGAGGTCTACTAAAATAGATTTATATTGTGCAATGTTCCAAACTCACATTGGTTTCTCATACAGCATCTCTGTATAGTATGTGTATTCACTCTTTGTACTAAACGGCTTGTTGGAGCTCCAATTTGGACCAATCCACGGACTTAACGTAACGGCTCCACGGACGTAACGTAACGGCTCCACGGATTGGTCCATTTTGACCAATCCACGGAGGGGTCGTCGTTACATCACTTGGTTCCCGGAAGAAAAAAATTGAAAAAGACAAATGTCCAACGAGGCGTTCTGGGGCAGCATAGACAGGTCTTTTCTGTGTTAGAGTTTTACTCGCTACAGGGTGTACTTTGAGGGTTTGTGACTCTGCAGACCGTTTACATGCAGAGAAACCTTCATAACACACAAGGGGACGGGTAAGAACCAGAAAAGCATGACATGGGACCCTTTAAGCAATGGATATCATCCTTCCATGACCTACTAATCTCAGAGCTATCAATCACTTCTGCTAATAAGGCTAAGGGGGGAACATTAGGGACTATTCAAAGAGCTGCTGATCTGGTTATATCATTCATGTAAATTAAGATTGTACATATATGCACACCTTGGTGCATTTGTAGATTATTAGGAGTCAATCTCAATTCAGTTTAAACAGATGAAATGTTATGGGGAACAAAAAGAAAAAGTATGATTGTATTTGGATGTGGACAAATTGTTATGCTATAATATATATAATATAATAGATGGATGAACTCAGACGATTGCTAACAAACATCAGGTAGGATTTTCTGTGAAATGGCAAGATGGGTGCATGGGAAGGGGGAGGGACGGGTGGCATGGGAAAGGGAGTCACAGTCAACTTTATTGTCAATCTCAAAATATGTTTGTACACACAGAAAGATCGAAATACTGTTTCCCACAGTCCCGAGGTCTAAAAAAAACACATATTAAAATTCAAGAACACTCAATAATTTACAAAAAAAACTCAAAATAACCGTTTACTTCAAGTAAGCAGGATATATATATATAAAAAAGAGATGATGTACAAATGAGAGTGTAAAAATGTCCATAGCAGCGTAAAAGTGACTGGTAAGCATAGCAACTGAAACCAGCTCTAACTATAGGTTGAAAATGACAAAATAAAAAATAAAGACATGACATAGGCCCTTTCTCATTTCACTAATTACCCCTCCTCGACTCCTCCGCTCTCATCTCCTGTGGACGGGACTAAGACACGAGGATAGGAGTCGAGGAGGGGAGTCGAGGAGGGGAGTTAGAGAAATGAGAAAGGGCCATAGAGGACTTATACTATTCTCTGCATATAAAACTCTGGAAATCAGTTAGACTTTTTTATTTATCCTGTTGGTTTCATGTTCTGAAAATGCCTGGAAATCAATGTTTGGTCAAATTGTGAAACAGCGTCTCAGATAAACTTTCGTTTTTTTCCGAGCTGGTTCAGGGGGAGGTCAGTAGTGACTGAGGAGGCTGACCTCTGCCCAGCTGGGTGATGAAGAACTTCCCACTGACTCAGTTACAGAGAACACTTTCATTCCCATTTAATTACACAAGGTGCTCCGTCCTCAGGTCTAATCTCCTGGTTCCCAGCAGCTGCTCTCAAACACTTTTGTATGTGTTCCCACCACAAATTAGGAAAATGTCAAAGTAGCAGATGTACGAAATTGCCTGGCGGAGCTCTAATTACACTGAGTAAAAGTTAACCAGAGCTGCATTAACGGCAAATAGAAAAACCAGGCTTGGATGTTGAGTTGAGTTACAAAAAGGGGAGGGAAGGAGAGAAAAAGAGAGAAGGAAACAGAAAGACAGGAGCGAGGTCGGAAAAGATGGAAAGATCTTGAAAAGCCAGCTGTACGGCGTGGTTTTGAATTCAGCTGTCAGTCTTCTGTCATCTCGGAGTATCTCGTCCCCTCTTCCTTCACCACTCCCTCATCTTTGCTCTCATCTCCTCCTCTTTCTTGCTGGTGTCAAAAGAGGTCGATGTACAGTACACGCTTCTAACATTCCCGTATAAAACGTTTCCTCTCATTAAGCCTACATTCAGTCGCCCATCAGTCATCAGTCCAGACTTGAAATGCTCCCGTACACCATCTCACTTTCACTATTCAATATCAAACACTGTTCAATATTCATAATAAGATAAGAAGTACTTTATGAATCCAAAATGTAAACATCTCAAATATAAATTAAAAAAATTGATAAAAAATCTAAACAAAAAGTACTTTTTAAATATTCATAGCGTGTTTATCCCATGTTTGGTTTATTACAGTGTATTCCGCAGCTTTGATTACCATTAGACATTTTAAACGTCTGATTTGTTGGTTTTAAATCCCCTTTGATGGGATGGATTTGAAGAAGACGATTGTTGTTTTAAACATATTCTTATTTCTATTCACGCTCTCAAACAAAATGCAACGATAAGCAGAAAAAGAGAGTTTTTAAAGCTGCTTTTCACATATTTTCTCCTCATATATTGCATTTATTCTTTCCATAAAACCTGGTGGAAGCATAACAAAAAGAAAGAAACCTACTGGTTCAAAATAACAATATTGGAGAGAGAAAGCTGTATATTTGTACATGTCTTAAAGGTCCCATGTCATGCTTTTCCGGTTATTACCCGTCCCCTTGTGTGTTATGTAGCTTCTGCATGTAAACGGTCTGCAGAGTCACAAACCCTCAAAGTACACCCTGTAGCGAGTAAAACTCTAACACAGAAAAGACCTGTCTATGCTGCCCCAGAACGCCTCGTTGGACATTTCTCATTTTCCATTGTTTACTTCCTGGGTTCAGTGACGTGTGAACACCCAAATCAACAACAAATGACCGGATTGGCCCAAATGGACCAATCCTTGGAGCACCTCACACACCAGGATCCCTTGGCTAACTAACAGGGAGTCCCCATTGACTTGCATAGAGCTCCCTGAACGCTGGTAATAGACGAGTTGGGATGGTGGAGAAATGCTCTCCGCAGACCCATTCTCACAGCGTTAGAAACCTTTTTCTTACTCAATATCAAGCCACACTTATTGTTTTTACTTCGGCTGTGAGTGTTTGTGTGTGCTCAGGATGAGTTTCGCTTGTTCTCGCTGTATCGCCGACCCGGAAACCTGTCCGCTCGCAGCAACGAGCCTCTCAACGTCCCGACCAATCAGAGCACACTGGGCTCATAGGGAGGGGGGGGGGGGGGGCAGGAGCTCCAACAAGCCGTTTAGCACAGAGAGTGAATACACATACTATACAGAGATGCTGTATGAGAAACCAATGTGAGTTTGGAAAATTGCACAATATAAATCTATTCTAGTAGACCTCAACAATGGAAATATGATCAGTAGAAATGGCCATGACAAGGGACCTTTAAATCCCCTTTGATGGGATGGATTTGAAGAAGACGATTGTTGTTTTAAACATGTTCTTATTTCTATTCAGGCTCTCTAACTAAATGCAACGATAAGCAGAAAAAGAGAGTATTTTCTCCTCATATATTGCATTTATTCTTTCCATAACACCTGGTTTTCATTTCAATTTCAAACCTTTATTTATCCAGGTGTATCCCATTGAGATCATTGATCTCTTTTTCAAGTGAGACCTGCTCAAGTAGGTTCCACATGAAACATAAAAACATAGACAGAACAACAAAAAGGACATCATACAGTATCATTACAGGGATTACAATTTACATAACTATCCACATGCACAGGTACCAACAGCTTCCGATTGAGTAGCATCCAACCGAGCTTTAAAAACATTTAGTGGCACCAGATTGCTCAGTTTCCATTTTAATTGCAGACTATTCCAAGACAGTGGAGCTGCGCATCTAAATGCTATCTTCCCTAAGACAGTCCTAGCAGTTGGCACATTTAATAAAACCACAGCATGCGATCTCAGGCAGTAGCCACTTACAATTCGCCGTGAGATCAGGGAGCAGATGTAGGATGGAAGTTTCCCTAACATGGCTTTGTATATAAAAATGTACCAGTGACTGAGCCTCCGTCATACTTGCCAACCTTGAGACATCAGAAATCGGGAGCATTTCCAAAACCACCGCGGGGGGGGTGGTGCTAGTGGATCGCCGGAGCTGTATTAGTTTAACATTAACATGCTTCTTGTAGTTGTAAGTGCACTGCCTTGCGGCCTGTAGCACCGTGTAGCATATGTGTGGGCTGGACCTGTATTTTACAGGAAAGAGGGTAGAATTGTTCTGTTGTTCTTCCTCACCCTCTCAGACTTTCGGTTGCGCGCGCTACTAAAGAGACGCGCTACCATGGAAACCAATCAATGGTGTAGCTGTATTAAAGTCCGAGTGGAAACAGTCCTGAGTAAATCTGATTTTGTCAGAAATAGGGAGAAATGCGGCAGAAATATGACCCCGGGAGGAAACCGGGAGAGGGCAATGAAATCGGGAGTCTCCCGCGAAAATCGGGAGGGTTGGCAAGTATGGCCTCCGTACAGTTAGCGAAGGCAAACCAGCCCTTGCATACAGGGTACAGTGATGGAACAGTGATACTGGTGGAAGCATAACAAAAAAAATAATCTGCCTACTGGTTCAAAATAACCACATTGGAGAGATAAAACTGTATATTCTTACATGTCTTAATAATTCTCTGTATTAACCCTGTCCTCTAGGAATGGCAGCGTTGGACAGCAAAGCGTCAGGAAAGATGGGCATGAGAGCCTTGATTTATTACATGACCACGACCTTCATCGCAGTCTTCACCGGGATCATCGTTGTCCTCATCATTCACCCCGGGAAAGGATCCAAAGCGGAGTTTGGAAAGCAGCAAAAGATCGAGCAAGTCAGTCCTGCGGACGCCTTCTTAGATCTGATCAGGTGAGAAAAGATAAGATGCACATTTCTCAAAGTTGTTGAAGTGACTGTTATTTTGTATTGATTGCTTTTATTTACGTCTAAATGTGTGCACATGAATAAATGTGTCTGTGTATGTATGTATATTTTTATATATCTTTGTTACTGTATTTGGGATTGTTACAAAAGTTACAAAAATACAATAAACACAGCGGCATAATAATAAAACTGACCAATTCAATAACTACAGGAAACAGGTCGCCCGCTCCTCAAACTGTGTAGGATGTGTTTTTTGTAAATTGTGTAACTTTTTTCATCGTTAATATTTTTGTATGCATGCTTCTTAGTTAACATTAAGCTGTCTTTGGCTCTTTTCTGCTGTGACAATGTAAATGTCCCCTCTGTGGGACTAATAAAGGTATTCTGATTCTGATTCACAGAGTGGACAACATCGTCTCTTAACAACTCTGTTATTTCTCTTTCCAGAAACATGTTTCCTCCAAACCTGGTCCAGGCCTGCACCCAGCAGGTGAGCTTTATATGGGTGTTAAACTAAATGAGGTCTCAGAAAGTCGTGCAGTGTTGATGTCACCCACAAGATAACAGATGTTTAAGAGGTCGAGTGTGTAGACATTTTGGCCTTTTACTGACCCCCGTTGTTCATGTTTTCCAAGCCTGACCATCCAGAGCCACTGGTTTGTTTTTAGCAGAGATGGCAAAAGTACACACATCCTTTACTCAAATAGAAGTACAGATACTCATGTTTAAAAATACTCTGGTGAAAGTAGAAGTACTGACTAAACTTCTTTACTCAAGTAAAAGTAAAGAGGGCTTTGAAATGTACTTCAGTAAAAAGTACCCATAACTAGCAGCTGTTTTAAAGAGTACCTGACCTCCCTTTATATTAATAGAACAATAATGTCATTGTTAGCTAATGAATGTTTCCATGCTGAACAACGGCAACATGACAACGTTTTCATTGGTCCCTCTTCTTTAGAGAAGACCAGGAAATGATGGATACACGGATCGTGTTCAAATCAATAGGCACGCAATGACTCTAAATAATAATGATCACGCCACCAAACACACATTCAAACTAAAGGAAAATGTAAGAAGTAGAAAGTACAGGTATTTGTGTTCAACATGTAAGAAGTAGAAAGTACAGGTATTTGTGTTCAACATGTAAGAAGTAGAAAGTACAGGTATTTGTGTTCAACATGTAAGAAGTAGAAAGTACAGGTATTTGTGTTCAACATGTAAGAAGTAGAAAGTACAGGTATTTGGGTTCAAAATGTAAAAAGTAGAAAGTACAGGTATTTGAGTTCAAAATGTAAGAAGTCAAAGTAAAAAGTCGTCAGAAAAATAAGTAGTGGAGTAAAGTACTGATTCCAGAAACATTTACAGGAAAAAGGGGATTTTGCACAATAGGTGACCTTTAAGCTAAGAAGCATGCTATGTTGTTGAGTTTTAGGGCTTTCATTGTGAAAGGGTATTGTGACCTGGAAGACACCAAACGTCAATTAATTTGATTACTCTGGAGCGTTTAGTCTTATTTATGGTCTTTCTTAAAGGACATGGATGGATATTCATCAGCTGCAGGAAATACTCACATCTTCTACGATTTTGCATAATAGGTGACCTTTGATTCTCTCCTTTCTCCAGTTCAAAACCAAGTATGGAAAGCGGGTTGTCACTGTGACGATGACGGTGAACGAAACCCTCTTCAACTCCACCAATGCGACCCAGGAGGTGATGGAGATCTCCAGAGAGGAAGCGATCCCGGTGCCGGGCCAGGTCAACGGGGTCAACGCTCTCGGGCTGGTGGTCTTTTCCGTGTGCTTTGGTTTGATAATTGGCAACATGAAGGAGCAGGGCCAGATCCTCAGGGACTTCTTCGACGCCCTGAATGAAGCCATCATGCGCCTGGTGGCCATCATCATGTGGTAAAAGTTCACTGTGAGAGGCAGGAAGTAGTGGAGTACAAATACTTTGTTACTGTACTTAAGTACGTTTTTCTGGTATCAGTACTTTACTCCACTACTTATTTTTCTGACGACTTTTTACTTTGACTTCTTACATTTTGAATACAAATACCTGTACTTTCTACTTCTCACATTTTCCAAACAGGCTGGTTCCTTTAGTTTGAATGTGTGTTTGGTGGCATGATCATTATTATTTAGAGTCATTGCGTGCCTATTGATTTGAACACGATCCGTGTATCCATCATTTCCTGGTCTTCTCTAAAGAAGAGGGACCAATGAAAACGTTGTCATGTTGCCGTTGTTCAGCATGGAAACATTCATTAGCTAACAATGACATTATTGTACTATTAATATAAAGGGAGGTCAGGTACTCTTTAAAACAGCTGCTAGTTATGGGTACTTTCTCTTAAAGTGGACCTATCATGCTATATTTGAATAATATAGTGTAGGACCATACCTATATAAGGCATATTTATACTTTTTTTTTTTCAAAATACCAAACAGATCATGCATTTTAGCCATGCCTCATTTTGCTCAATTTGACAATTTCTAGCTCTTGGCAGATTCAGTGAGAACAGCACCACCTACAGGCCTGGCATATGTACTACAGCGTCTCCAGCGCTTTCGAACGGCAATGGCCGTGGCTGTCTCCTCCTGATTGGTGGAGTTGGCCCAATAGCCGTAGCGCCACCGTCCTGACGTCAGGACAGTGTTCAAATCTGGATCAGTTTTTATCAGATCCGTTGCAGCCCCTTTTTTAGAGATTTGGGTATGGAGGAAAATAGAGAGGGTTGTGTTTTCTGACACTTGGTGAGTTCCCTGGAACACCGGGGACACATATTCATGTATAAAAGACGTACAAAAGTGCATTTTGCATGATAGGTCCCCTTTAAGTACATTTCAAAGCCCTCTTTACTTTTACTTGAGTAAAGAAGTTTAGTCAGTACTTCTACTTTTACCAGAGTATTTTTAAACACCAGTATCTGTACTTCTACTTGAGTAAAGGACGTGTGTACTTGTGCCATCTCTGGTGAGAGGTGTTTCCTGTTGAATAAAAATGTCACCATCATCTTCCTCGCTCTTCCTCTCTCAGGTACGCTCCTATCGGGATCCTGTTCCTGATCGCAGGAAAGATCGTGGAGATGGATGATCTGACTCAGATGGGCGGCCAGCTGGGGATGTATACCATCACGGTGATAATCGGGTTACTAATCCACGGAGTTCTTATTCTTCCCACTCTTTATTTTGTTATCACTCGGCAAAACCCCTTCACCTTCATCGCTGGCATCCTGCAAGCTCTGGTCACCGCCCTGGGAACATCCTCCAGGTGAGTCCAACACTACCTCACCTCTGTTGTAGTATACAGATGTAGCACTCCAGATAGGACTCCACCCAGCGGAGTATGTATCATTAAGTCTCATTTAAAGTGGACCTATCATGCTATATTTGAATAATATAGTGTAGGACCATACCTATATAAGGCATATTTATACTTTTTTTTTTTCAAAATACCAAACAGATCATGCATTTTAGCCATGCCTCATTTCGCTCAATTTGACATTTTTTAGATCTGTTTTAGCAAGGGCAGATTCTGTGAGAACAGCACCACCTACAGGCCTGGCATATGTACTACAGCGTCTCCAGCGCTTTCGAACGGCAATGGCCGTGGCTGTCTCCTCCTGATTGGTGGAGTTGGCCCAATAGCCGTAGCGCCACCGTCCTGACGTCAGGACAGTGTTCAAATCTGGATCAGTTTTTATCAGATCCGTTGCAGCCCCTTTTTTAGAGATTTGGGTATGGAGGAAAATAGAGAGGGTTGTGTTTTCTGACACTTGGTGAGTTCCCTGGAACACCGGGGACACATATTCATGTATACAAGACGTACAAAAGTGCATTTTGCATGATAGGTCCCCTTTAAGTATAACTATCTTCTCTGGTTTGATTCTCCCGTGGTTTGAATCCACATCTAGTCTCTAATTCTCACTTCCTTAGAACAGACAGAAAGGCTCTCTTTTCGACCATTGGTTTGAACATATGCAAATTTCACAATCTGGCCAACACTTCCTGTTTGCCTCGCTGAGACCTTCCCCTTTTCTTGCTTTTGAGTGTATAAAGTGTTGGTATTTTCTGTTGTATGTGGTCAGATCTTGGTACTATCTACTAGTGCAGGACCTCTGGCCTTTCCAGCAATTCTCCGCATTAACTGACCAGCAAAAACACACAGCACAGGAGCTACAGGGAGAGGGATGTTTAAAGCAGGTGCTGATTCATTTTGACCAATCAAACAATCACTGTTCAGCTACAGAAAAATGAGATTCAACGATGTCTGTCTAATTTGCTACCAATGTATGATTAAAAAGTAGATTACTACTATTTTAGCCTTATACAAAACACAAAAACACCAACTTAGTGGATTTAAATGAACACATGAAATGCATACACTAAGTTCACAACAAGCTCTAGCAAATAAAGAATCATAGTCACCACAGAACGTATCCGTGGATTCACTAAACACTGTGGATGTGACCTTAAATGAGAGTTATGCAGAGACTCTTACTGTGCAAACAAACGTATATCCAGTCTGTACATAACTCATGTTAGCTTTAGCCTGAGGCAACCAGCATGTGACAGAAATACAGAAGCATTAGAGCTGTTGGCGCTTACTGACATTTTGGATGCAGCTTGTGAGACAAGTTGCTTTTATCTTAAACAGCGCTGCTTGTTTAGAGTTTGTTAGGTAGCGTCTCTAGAGTAGTTTTTAGCACAAAGAAGCTCAGTCTAAAGTTAGAAACAGGCCTTTTGTCATGGCCTGGCTCTTGGCCATAACAAAGAACGTGGGAAAGGACACGGTTTAAGGAACGATATTTATTATAATAACTAAACTTAACTAAACAAAAGAGCCACCACAATGGAATGTGTTAATCAGTAGTATCAGTAGTGTAGGTGTGGGTGTGTGAACGTGGTGTGGTGCAAGGTGTTGAATGCCAAACTAACGGCCCGTCCACACAGCGGCGTGCGTTGAAGCTTGCCGGCGGGCGTGTCTGAAACTCGACCAACAACCAATCACATGAATCTCCGGCCCCTGACACACAAGCAGCGGTTTGATTGGCTAGAGCTTGTACTGGCATATGATTCGATTGGCTGACGCTTCTGCCGAGGCTTCAAAAGTTGGACATTGCTCAACTTCTGCAGCGACCCACGCCAGCAAAGCTCCACTTCGCTTCCCACAATGCAGTTCGGTGAAAAGTGACGTCACCCCATTCAAAGTGAATGGTGAAGCTTTCAACGCACGCCGCTGTGTGGAAGAGGAAGGGAAACAAAAGCATATAGGTCAGGTAGCTGCTCTCAAACACAGATCCTTCCACCGAGAGAGCGAGCAAGACTCTGGCCGTTTCTCAATGTCGAGGACGCTTGCTTGGTAGCACATGTCTTCCGAGTCACTTGCTTCAGAAGCGCGAGGCAAGAATCCTTCCTAGCCTCGGAAAACAAAGAATTGTGGAACAGGCTAACAGGTGTGCGTCATATGAGAGGCCCCGCCTTAAATGGAGCGCTATTTCCGCCAAAGATTTGGAAATTGCTCCGTGCGCAAAGCATTGTGGGGATTTTAAGACCACGGAGTCTACACATGTGCAGCCTCGAAATGTCTCGCTACGAAGTACACCGGCCTCGGTAGAATTCCAAGTATGCTGGACATTGGAACAGTCCTTCGGCGGCACTCGATGACGTAGTATGATTGAAATAGTGGCTCTGGAGCAGCCTTCCTCGACATTAAGAAACACCCCCTGGCTCGGGCCTTTCACTCCTCAGGTACCAGCAAGCAGAACATGGCAAAGAGAAAGAATCATTTAATTTAGATCTCAGTCTCCGGCACTGAGCTGTTTGAAGCCTTTGGTTCATTCACGGTCATGCAGCGAGTTCACTTTGAAGATGTTACGCTTCATGTCCTCTCTAGACTAAATGGTGATCTTTAGAGTACATGCTGAATGCATTTGAATGAGGATAAAAGGCTTAGTTTGAAAAGTTAATAACATTTTGATATGTGTATGTGTTTTTATATGTCTCTAGTTATTGTGCTTTTTATCTTGCTTATAATTCTTGTTTTATTATTTTACTCCTTTGTGTTATCTTGTATTTGTTCCCTGCACAGCACTTTGGTCAACTGAGGTGGTTTTAAATGTGCTATAATATGAATAAATAACGAAATGGGATTGAGATTAAAATAAAGTGTACGAGGTAAACACTGGGTGTTTCTCAATGTCGAGGACGCTTCCTTGGTAGCACATGTCTTCCGAGTCAGGTCCTTCAGAAGCGAGGCAAGAATCAGGTGTGCGTCATATGAGAGGCCCCGCCTTACATTTTCCGCCAAAGATTATGGAAATTGGTCCGTACGCAAAGCATTGTGGGGATTTTAAGACCGCGGAGGATACACATGTGCAGCCTCGAAATTTCCCGCAACGAAAGGACGCCGGCCTCGGTAGAATTCCAAGTATCCTGGGCCGTTTCTCAATCGCGAGGATATTGGCTTCTAAGCCAATATTTCAAGGATGCTACGTCATCGAGTGCCGCCGAAGGACTGTTCCAATCTCCAGCATACTTGGAATTCCACAGAGGCCGCGTCCTTGGTTTGGGGGAAATTTCGAGGCTGCACATGGGTAGACTTCGCGTCCTTAAAATCCCCACAATGCTTTGCGCATGGACTAATTTCCCCAAATCTGTGGCGGAAGATGTAAGGCGGGGCCTCTCATATGACGCACACCTGCACACTTGCTAGCCTGTTCCACTCTTCGTTTTCCGAATGCCAGGAAGTATTCTTGCCTCGGCTCGGCTGTGCTACCAAGCCAGCATCCTCGCGATTGAGAAACGGCCCTGGACATTTGAACAGTCCTTCGGCAGGACTCGATGACGTAGCATCCTTGAAATAGTGGCTCTGGAGCAGCTTTCCTCGACATTGAGAAACACCCAGTCACTGACTATCAATCTTTGGACCTAACAATTTAAGAAAGGAAAGGCCAACACTCTTGAATCCTTAAAAACATCTCTCAAAACTCACTCTCTTTCAAACTCTGATCAACAACACACTTTACTCGCACTAGGATTAGGACTACTGTTGTTTTCTTTGTACTGTGTCTGTTCTGATTTTATGTCAAGCTTCTTTGAGCATTAGCAGAAAAATCCAATGTATTATTATGATTTATTACGAAGTATATGTCCCGTGTCTCTGTATGCACCACTTATTAGATTCAAAGATTCAAAGGTTGTATTGTCATATGCTCATAAGCTTCAGTGTAGAAATGGCAATGAAATTCTCCTGACCTGAGCTCCTCCAACAAAGCAACATATATAATAAAATACAAAATAAAAAGTAGTGCAAAAAGTCAATATACGTGTAAATAGAATATGATATGTACAAGAACAGAAAAAAACCCGATTTACTATAAATACTACAGCAAATCTCTCGTATGTGTAAACCTGTGGAAATAAAACTGATTCTGAGTGTGTTTTTAACCTGTTTCCATTTGTTTTCATGGCTCAGCTCTGCAACCCTGCCTGTCACCTTTAAATGTCTGGAGGAGAACAACAAAATTGACAAGAGAATCACACGCTTCGTGCTGCCGGTGGGAGCCACGATCAATATGGATGGAACGGCGCTTTATGAGGCGCTGGCGGCCATCTTTATAGCCCAGGTCAACAACGTGGAGATGAACTTTGGTCAGATCCTCACCATCAGGTAGGGAAGTGGAAATGGCAGACGCTGTTATTTCCATTTTCTGCTACTGTGTACTTTTACTCCACTACAGTTCAGAGGTACATGGTGTACTTGTACTCCACTGCATGTATTTAATCCCTTTAGTTACTTTACAGATGTGGATGAATGATGTGAAATATAATCAAGTGTTGAATCAGACTTTAGTTCCACCTGGAGTAAATCCACAAGCTACCCTGCAGTATACAAAGTCATTCAAACTAGCTGCACCTTTACCAGCTTTGAGAACACTTTCATGATCAATCATTATAAAACATATCATATATATTATTCTGAAATGGACCAATCTGCACAGTGACTACTTTTACTGTCGCTACTTTCACTATATTTTGATGAGAATACTTTTCTACTTTCACTTGAGGAACATTTTGAATGCAGGACTTTTACTGTAACAGAGTATTCCTACACTCTGGTACTTCTACTTTTACTCAAGTACAAGATCTGAGTACTTCTACTTTTACTCAAGTACAAGATCTGAGTACTTCTACTTTTACTCAAGTACACGACCTGAGTACTTCTACTTTTACTCAAGAACAAGATCTGAGTACTTCTACTTTTACTCAAGATCTGAGTACTTATACTTTTACTCAAGATCTGAGTACTTCTACTTTTACTCAAGTACAAGATCTGCGTACTTCTACTTTTACTCAAGTACAAGACCTGCGTATTTCTACTTTTACTCAAGTACAAGATCTGAGTACTTCTACTTTTACTGAAGTACAAGACCTGAGTACTTCTACTTTTACTCAAGTACAAGACCTGCGTACTTCTACTTTTACTCAAGTACATGATCTGAGTACTTCTCCACCTCTGGTTATCAATAAGAGAAATGCAGATATAGAATAGTTTCTCTTCTCTTGAATCCAGTATCACAGCCACTGCGGCCAGCATTGGAGCGGCAGGCATCCCTCAGGCCGGACTGGTCACCATGGTGATTGTTTTGACCTCTGTTGGACTTCCTACTGATGACATCACTCTCATCATTGCGGTCGATTGGTTCTTGTGAGTATCTGTGTGTAACTTTCACTGACATGATGAATGTTTTAAGGTCAGAACCGTCTCTACTACCACCCAGTGACACACTTCTCTCTCTCAGGGGTCTCGTTCCACTTCTTCCCTTTTGTATTGAATATTTTTTGCGATGAGTTTTAACATAGAAACATAATTAGGTTTCCCAAATTAATCATTTCAATTAGAATACCCTCTCCCAGAAATTACTCAGCTAACTGGGGTAATAGGAAAGAAATCGTTCCCTCCTTTAACTAGGATGCACCAAATCTGAACGTCTGTCAAAGCCTTCCAGCATGAAGACAGAGGGAAGAGCAGCGTTTAATGTTGGAAGTCTCTGTGGTTCTAGGGCAGGATTGTCACTTGAATCAGGGTTCACTTTCAGAAGAAAAGTGCTAGGTGTCCAAGCTCAGTATTCAAATCAATGTACCAGAATAAAACCGTTCAGACAGAGCTCTCATTGCAAAGAGTTGTTCCCAGAGGTGGGAAGTAGTGGAGTACAAATACTTTGTTACTGTACTTAAGTACATGTTTCTGGTATCAGTACTTTACTCCACTACTTATTTTTCTGACGACTTTTTACTTTGACTTCTTACATGTTGAACACAAATACCTGTACTTTCTACTTCTTACATGTTGAACCCAAATACCTGTACTTTCTACTTCTCACATTTTCCAAACAGGCTGGTTCCTTTAGTTTGAATGTGTGTTTGGTGGCGTGATCCTTATTATTTAGAGTCATTGCGTGCCTATTGATTTGAACACGATCCGTGTATCCATCATTTCCTGGTCTTCTCTAAAGAAGAGGGACCAATGAAAACGTTGTCATGTTGCCGTTGTTCAGCATGGAAACATTCATTAGCTAACAATGACATTATTGTTCTATTAATATAAAGGGAGGTCAGGTACTCTTTAAAACAGCTGCTAGTTATGGGTACTTTTTACTGAAGTACATTTCAAAGCCCTCTTTACTTTTACTTGAGTAAAGAAGTTTAGTCAGTACTTCTACTTTCACCAGAGTATTTTTAAACACGAGTATCTGTACTTCTACTTGAGTAAAGCATGTGTGTACTTTTGCCATCTCTGTGTTCAGGGACCGTCTGCGGACCACCACCAATGTTTTGGGGGATTCGATCGGAGCGGGTATCGTAGAGTTTCTGTCTCGACATGAGCTCCGCAGCAAAGACGTGGAGATGGGGAACTCCGTGCTGGAGGAGAAAGAGAGGAAGAAACCTTACAAGCTCATCTCCCAGGATAGTGATTTTGAAAATGACAAACGTGCTCACAGTGAATCCAACATGTAGGTCACATGGTTCTGTTTGAAGGGATAGAGACCTGATTGCTAGATGATGTTTCCACCATAACGTTGCTGACATTATTTCACACATTTGTTAACGTTCCTTTATTATCTAGTCCTGCATCACGTTCATTTCTGATTTGTATGTTTACTACTTTAATATTTTATCTTCATATAACATGTAGTGATTGAGGTGAAGGTAGATTTAGATACATGTGACAGATTTAAACACTGCATTAAAATAAGCATTTTGTCACCAGGACATAGCTCAACTTAAATAAAAATGTCTCTTTATCGTCACAACATAAGTTAATATTGTGGTTTTTATTACAGGTTATAACAAGAATGCAATGTGTGTGTGTGTGGTGTGGTGTGTGGTGTGTGTGTGTGGTGTGGTGTGGTGTGGTGTGGTGTGGTGTGGTGTGGGTGTGTGCGTGTGTGCGTGCCTATGTGTATGTGTGTGTGTGTGGCTGAATTTTTTACCAACATTGCTAATTTTCTGTAGATATGACAGTGAATATGTTGGGTGATTTAATGCTTGTTAACGCTTCTGATTTCAATATGAATGTGTGACGCGGATATTGAAGTCTCTCTGAGAAAATGGTGACCTATACTTTTTGTTTATTATAACGAAGTTTAGTGAAATAAAATACAAAAATAATTACTGACTGTTTTCGTTTTTATTTCAAATGTCCGGGATCATTTTGGTAGATTACAAACGCAAACGATATTTCCTAAATAATTGCTTTCTTTTCTGAACATAATATCATGTTGTATGGTCTCTGAAGGAGAAGTGAATATGATTCTCCTCCGAAGGACTACAAGGCTTACATTATACATTTGGATTGATACCGACTTGCCAGCTTGACAATGATAAAATAAGAAGTTAAGGGAATTGATATAGTTAAAAGTTCTTTAGGAAAATAACTAAAAATACATACATTTTATGAGCTGTTTTGAAAAGTATTTATTAAGGGAAGGCGTGAAGCTTAATGCCACAGACAGAGTAGTACATATGTTTTGCATTGATGGATTGACAGACAGACAGCCAGACAGACAGACAGCCAGACAGACAGACAGACAGACAGACAGACAGACAGATAGATAGATAGATAGATAGACAGATAGAAGGACAGACAGACAGACAGACAGACATATAGACAGATAGATATCTAGATATACAGACAGACAGACAGACAGACAGACAGACAGACAGACAGACAGACAGACAGACAGACAGAAAGAAAGAATAATGTACGATGTTTCATAAAGTGTATTCCTCGGTTCATTGTGTAAATTACCGTGGATCCGGGAGATGGCGACAGGGCAACAGGTGTATGTTCAGCCTGTCCTAGAAGAAGAGCAGTCCTCTCTGCTGACATACATACATACATACATATACATTATTATGCTAAAATGCACAACCTCACAGTTGTCATGAAGGAGTTATCTAACCATACAGTGAATATGGTGTTTTGAGCCACGATGAAAACATGTTTATTTCCGCTTTAAAGTCGGGCATTTTAACATGGGGGATCTACGGAAATTGCTCCCTTCTGCAGCCTCCCCCTACCGTCCACTATATGAACTGTAGTGTGTGGCACTTTCGGATTGGCTTCACCGCTGGGTGTACAGCCTGTTGCTCCTCCTCACTTTCCACTTGATATATCACACAGTAAGGACGTCCCATTGCTCTTAAAAAACACATTTCCTTGATTTCTTCTCCCTTCGCGACAACATTACATATTAAGCCAACATTATCAGACAGAACACTGAATGTGGCAAGAACTTCAAATCTTACATTTAGATTTTTGAAAAGGGATTTTAGCGTTTCTCCATGCATCCCTGGTGGGAGGGACTTTAAAACGCAAGGAAAAGACGTAAACAAGGGACGCAAAGGGTGGAAATTAAGGGAAGTGATATTACGCAGCAAGGTGCAGTAAGGTGCAGAAAACATGTCCTCCTCTCAGAGAAAAGACCTGGGCCGGGCATTGTGCATCATAACCGGGGCCTCAAGGGGCTTTGGTCGGACTGTAGCGAGGGAGTTGTCCCGGTTAGTGAAGCCGGGATCGGTGCTCATTCTCACGGCTCGCTCGGAGGAAAACCTGCGGTCTCTGGAGGTCGAGCTGGCCGGGTCAGAGGCAGGTAAATCCGGCCTTTTGGTGCAGTGTGTACCGGCAGACGTGGCTCAGATGGAAGGGCTGCAGAGCGTCGTTTCAGCCTCGAGGGCAGCTTTCTCTGAACAGATAGATCACGTGATACTGGTCAACAACGCTGGTAAGAACCTGCTAATTACCATTAATCACCTGATAAATGACCCAAAACCAGTGGTGAGAGAAGTACTCGGATCTTGTACTTGAGTAAAAGTAGAAATACTCAGATCTTGTACTTGAGTAAAAGGAGAAGTACTCGGATCTTGTACTTGAGTAAAAGTAGAAGTACTCAGATCTTGTACTTGAGTAAAAGGAGAAGTACTCAGATCTTGTAAACATTAACCTACACACTGTAACCCGTTAATAGTAACCAGGACTGTTCAAGCATAACAAGTACACTGTTTTTAAGACTTTAACCTGCACTCTCATCTGCACACTTTTGTAAATATATTTAACATGTTCATACAAATGCACAACTTTTTACTGTGATATGTTATTTTAATAGTTACTTTATCACTTTATTTTTGCTGTATTATTATCATTAACAAGTCAATATGCAAATAAAATCAACTGTTATAAAACATTAAAAACTGGCGCAATTTAAAACGACGTCAATTATGGGATTTACGAGCAATCACATCGACCAATGGTTTCTTGTTATCTGTCCTTTAAGACTTAAATTCCCCAAATCTGACAGTTTCAGCTATAATTATTTTATCTTTAATACTTTTGTATGCATGCACAGTTAACATTAAGCTGTGTTTGGCTCTTTTCTGCTGTAACAATGTACATTTCCCCCCTGTGGGACTAATACAGGTATTCTGATTATTCCAAGCATAAGGGGCAGCATATTTAAAATCTTTTTTTACCTATTTCTGTTCTCACTTTAGGAACCAGCATCTGAATAGCATCTTATCTTAACCCTCTCTCTCTCCAGCCTCTCTAGGGGATGTGTCTCGTTTCACCAGCAGCTTCACAGATATGGCCGAGGTTGACTCCTACCTGTCCCTGAATGTGACTTCCTGTTTGTGTCTGACGGCCCGCCTCCTTCAGGCTCTTCCCCCCCGATCAGGGCTCTGTCGCTCCGTCATCAACATCACCTCGCTGTGCGCCCTGCAGCCTTTTAAATCCTGGGCGCTTTATTGCACTGGAAAGGCAGCTCGGGAGATGATGTTCAGGGTGCTGGCAGCGGAGGAGCCAGACCTCAGGGTGCTGAGCTACTCCCCAGGTGAGGAGGGGGGGGCAACAGTACACACACCCTTTACTCAAGTAGAAGTACAGATACTCGTGTTTAAAAATTGTAAAAGTAGAAATACTGACTAAACTTCTTTACTCAAGTAAAAGTAAAGAGGCTTTGAAATGTACTTCAGTAAAAAGTACCCATAACTAGCAGCTGTTTTAAAGAGTACCTGACCTCCCTTTATATTAATAGAACAATAATGTCATTGTTAGCTAATGAATGTTTCCATGCTGAACAACGGCAACATGACAACGTTTTCATTGGTCCCTCTTCTTTAGAGAAGACCAGGAAATGATGGATACACGGATCGTGTTCAAATCAATAGGCACGCAATGACTCTAAATAATAATGATCACGCCACCAAACACACATTCAAACTAAAGGAACCAGCCTGTTTGGGAAATGTGAGAAGTAGAAAGTACAGGTATTTGAGTTCAACATGTGAGAAGTAGAAAGTACAGGTATTTGGGTTCAACATGTAAGAAGTAGAAAGTACAGGTATTTGTGTTCAAAATGTAAGAAGTAGAAAGTACAGGTATTTGTGTTCAAAATGTAAGAAGTAGAAAGTACAGGTATTTGGGTTCAACATGTAAGAAGTAGAAAGTACAGGTATTTGTGTTCAAAATATAAGAAGTAGAAAGTACAGGTATTTGTGTTCAAAATGTAAGAAGTAGAAAGTACAGGTATTTGGGTTCAAAATGTAACAAGTAGAAAGTACAGGTATTTGGGTTCAACATGTAAGAAGTAGAAAGTACAGGTATTTGTGTTCAAAATGTAAGAAGTCAAAGTATAAAGTCGTCAGAAAAATAAGTAGTGGAGTAAAGTACTGATACCAGAAAAATGTACTTAAGTACTCCTCTCCTCTCCCAGGCGCTCTGGACACGGAGATGCAGTTGGTGGCCAGATCCAGCACAGCTGATCCAGACCTCAAGAAAACCTTCTCAGACATGTTCTCTGCGGGCCAGCTGCTGACCTGCGAGGCTTCCTGTGCCAAACTGATGAAGCTGCTCCTGGAGGACAGCTTCACATCTGGAGCGCACATCGATGTCTTCGACCTGTAGACACAGCACTTACAGCCAATCAGCATGGGGCCAGATTATTGCCTTGATTTTAACTGAAACTCTTAATGTTGACCCACCACTTATACTGCAGTTATGAATAGGAAGGTTAATAGTTGACTTATCTGTCAATCTTAAATCTCTATGTTGTAGATTTCTATTGTTAATCTTTCCAAATGACAGTCTGAAGTATCACACTCACATTCAAAACATTCCAGTTTAGTTTTTACTCAAGTACAATACCTGAGTATTTCTACTTTTACTCAAGTACAATACCTGAGTACTTCTCCCACCTCTGGCCAAGACTATAGTGTAGTTGTGATTGAGTGAAACATCACCCCCCAGTAAAGCATTTATTCTTCAGGAGGAAGTGCTGGTGCTTAAATCCGGTGCTTCAACAATATCAATCTTTAACAGCCATGTTCTTACTCACTCTTTCTGCCTTAAATATGTTCAGGATGATAGAAAAGCCATCTTTACTCTCAGTATTGGTGTGAAAATGAAGGGGAAATATCAGCTGTGTAGCGTTATCCCCTTTCATTCAATATCCTCAAGAATAGACTGTCAAAAAGTACAAAAAGGAGAGTAGAGTAGCAAGACACGCCTACAGATACTGGTTCAGACGGTTTATCTTGCTCTGTTTATGGTGTGGTTCTGTTCTCAGGTGATGTCTTAAAGCTGATCCCAGGTCTGTGCCATATTCACTGTCACTATAGTAACTGTTAGGTGCCTTACCTGATGTCTGTTTTAGTATGTTAATATGATTCTGTGTTCCTTATCGTTTAGTAAACTGTGATTATTGCAGCCTTGGCATTTCAATACTTGGGAGGAAAATAAGGACATGATCCACGTGTTCAAAATACTCTTCACACATTCCTCATGTTTACCTCTGGCTGTTTTCCAAGCTGGTTGTGTAAACGTAACATGCTTTATTACAGAAATGTGATACTTAAATGTTGCAGTTCAGTTTTACAATCTTACCTACACAAACATAGTACATATAAAGTCATGATTAATCGCTGAATGATGTGTACAGAACCTGTAAACACTGATGGAAACTCTTGTATTTGCTGTTGACGTGATGGTGGAGCTAATGAAAGGTCAAAGGGGTCAAAATGATCTGAAGACCTGTGAGCAATGAAAACCCAGAACACATGAACCTCAATCCCCAAAGTGCTGACATACCACAACCTGTGCCACGATGAAGATGAAGATGACGATGTCTGACCTGTAAAACCCTGATAATGTTAATCAAATCAAATCAAACTTTATTTGTATAGCCCAATATCACGAAACACGTTTGTGTCAGTGGGCTTTACAGATTAAAAACTAGCAACAACATTGTGTGTATGATGGAGTGACAGCAAAATGAGAAAACTAAATAAGATAAGATACAAAAAAATGAATGTGTTTACAGCGTGTGCCCCGCTCCCAAAGAGACCAAAAATAAAAAGCATTACAAATAAATTAAATGTGGTTGACGTATTTTGTTTGGGTCAAAGTGACCCAATGTGACCGCCCCTCACTGTACTGTGCAAAAGTGTAAATAAAAAGAGATAGACCAAAGAGACTGAATGTGAGCGGCTCCGTTTCCTCTGACTGACAGACACAGCTGCCCCCCCCCCCCCCCCCCCCAAAATACCACAGGAGGAACCAACCAAAACTAGGGGACGACACCCCCTTAAGTACCTCACTACTTTCAGTACTTAAGTACAATTTTGAGGTGGTACTTGTACTTGAGTATTTATGCTACCGTGTACTTCTACTCCACTACAGTTCAGAGGTACATGGTGTACTTTTACTCCACTACATGTATTTAACACCTTTAGTTACTTCACAGATCTGGATGAATGATGTGAAATCTAATCAAGTGTTGAATCAGACTTTAGTTCCACCTGGAGTAAATCCACAAGCTACCCTGCAGTATACAAAGTCATTCAAACTAGCTGCACCTTTACCAGCTTTGAGAACACTTTCATGATCAATCATTATAAAACATATCATATATATTATTCTGAAATGGACCAATCTGCACAATGACTACTTTTACTGTCGCTACTTTCACTATATTTTGATGATAATACTTTTCTACTTTTACTTGAGGAACATTTTGAATGCAGGACTTTTACTGAAACAGAGTATTCCTACACTCTGGTACTTCTACTTTCACTCAAGTACTAGATCTGAGTACTTCTACCTTTACTCAAGTACAAGATCTGAGTACTTCTCCTTTTACTCAAGTACAAGATCTGAGTACTTCTACTTTTACTCAAGTACAAGATCTGAGTACTTCTACTTTTACTCAAGTACAAGATCTGAGTACTTCTACTTTTACTCAAGTACAATATATGAGTACTTCTACTTTTACTCAAGTACAATATCTGAGTACTTCTACTTTTACTCAAGTACAACATCTGAGTACTTCTACTTTTACTCAAGTACAAGATCTGAGTACTTCTACTTTTACTCAAGTACAAGATCTGAGTACTTCTACTTTTACTCAAGTACAAGATCTGAGTACTTCTACTTTTACTCAAGTACACCATCTGAGTACTTCTAGTTTTACTCAAGTACACCATCTGAGTACTCCTCCTCCTCTGCTCACCCCCCTCTCTGAGGAGATGGTACAACCCCCTGAGTGTATTTCGGGCTCATGGGGGGGGGGGGGAAACTTCTCCTCAGAGTTTCCTTCTCTCTCCACTCTCCACTCTTATCCTCTTCCTCCCTGCAGCTCGACTATCCCCTTCCTCCTCCTCCTCCTCCTCCTCTGACACCATGACTGTGGGGAACATGGACAGTGCTGAGCTGTTTGATGCTGGGAAGAAGGGTCGAGGCCTGAGAGCCAGAAAGGACCTGAACGCCGGGGACGTGGTCTTCTCCGAGTCCAGCTTCTCTGCTGTGGTCTTCGACAGGTACGAGCTGGTTTTGATTTATTCCACAAAGATATAACATACATGGAGATGTACATAAAAGTCACACCCGCCTCAGTTTACAGTCCACTCAAACCTACACGTTATTGCTCACATACACAGACGTACATTACCCCTTTCTTTCTAAGTCTTAGCAAAGTATACATAAATACAGACATTCATTTAAAGAGCTGGTTGTTTCATTATATTTTATTTTTATTTGCATACAAAGTCAACAGTTACAAACCAATCTACAGACAAACCAATGTACAGACAAACCAATCTACAGACAAACCAATCTACAGACAAACCAATCTACAAACCAATCTACAGACAAACCAATCTACAGACAAACCAATCTACAAACCAATCTACAGACAAACCAATCTACAGACAAACCAATCTACAGACAAGCCAATCTACAGACAAGCCAATCTACAGACAAACCAATCTACAGACAAACCAATCTACAGACAAACCAATCTACAGACTAACCAATCTACAGACAAACCAATCTACAGACAAACCAATCTACAGACAAACCAATCTACAGACAAACCAATCTACAGACAAACCAGACAAACCAATCTACAGACAAACCAATCTACAGACAACCAGACAAACCAATCCTACAAACAAACCAGACAAACCAATCTACAGACAAACCAGACACACCAATCAACAGACAACAACCAATCTACCGACAAACCAATCTACAGACAAACATCTACAGACAAACCAATCTACAGACAAGCCAATCTACAGACAAACCAATCTACAGACAAACCCAATCTACAGACAAACCAATCTACAGACAAACCAGACAAACCAATCTACAGACAAACCAATCTACAGACAAACCAATCTACAGACAAACCAATCTACAGACAAACCAGACAACCAATCTACAAACAAACCAGACAAACCAATCTACAGACAAACCAGACAAACCAATCAACAGACAAACCAATCTACCGACAAACCAATCTACAGACAAACCAATCTACAGACAAGCCAATCTACAGACAAACCAATCTACAGACAAACCAATCTACAGACAAACCAATCTACAGACAAACCAATCTACAGACAAACCAGACAAACCAATCTACAGACACCATCTACAGACAAACCAGACAAACCAATCTACAGACAAACCAATCTACAGACAAACCAATCTACAGACAAACCAATCTACAGACAAACCAATCTACAGACAAACCAGACAAACCAATCTACAGACAAGCCAATATACAGACGAACCAATCTACAGACAAACCAATCTACCGACAAACCAATCTACCGACAAACCAATCAACAGACAAACCAATCTACAGACAAGCCAATCTACAGACAAACCAATCTACAGACAAGCCAATATACAGACGAACCAATCTACAGACAAACCAATCTACAGACAAACGAACATGAAGAGACATTTGTATTTGTATTACTTGCACTATTTTAACTATTTAACTGTTTCATTGTGTTGCTCTGTTGGAGGAGCCAGTGACCTGAGGTCTTCCTGACATATCTACACTGTAGCACACATGACAATAAAAGCCTTGAATCCTTGAGAAACACAACAACAATCCAAACTGTGTGTAGCAGAGAACCAGGAGTTACAAATTGAGTTTTTAGTTGAAGTCTGATTCATACGGTTTTCCAAACTCAATCCATCCCTTCCAACACTTGTCAAAAAAAAACACAACCATTTGTTCTGAGACTCAACACGAGTCTCAGAACAAATGGTTGTGTTTTTCAGACCTTCTGATCTGAAGGTGTTTGCATGTGTTTTTCTGCTCAGCTTCTCTCAGTGTGACCTCATTCCTCCTGACAGCAGCTCTGTCATGTGAAGCCTCAGCATGTCAGACTGCAGGATTCAGTTTCAAACTGTTTTCAAATGTGGCTCTCCCACTGAACGTTTAGGACATCTTGCAAGCTTTAATTCCTTGATTTCCAGAATATTCTTAATTTAAATCCACTTTTCAGTTTGTTCAGTGTGATTCTACACTGGCAGAACAAGTAAGAAGCCCTTTGCTAGCTACAGCAGATATATTCATACGTTTCATTTGATATTTGGGTTTGGAAGAGACATGTTGAGGTACCTGGTTAACATTTCAGATACAGAAGATGAAGGTGAGGTGTTAAAATAATAATATATTTTAGGTGTGAGTTCATTACATGCTGGAAACTAAATGTATTTATAGTCTATATATCAGGCGTGCATTATGTGAGTAACGCAGCAGCAGGTCGTGCATTCTGCAGATCAGACACACCGTGTTCTGGACGTCTGTAAAGAGGGAGTGGGTAGGAAAGCTGCAGCCCAGAGTGTGTGTGTGTGTGTGTGTGTGTGTGTGTGTGTGTGTGTGTGTGTGTGTGTGTGTGTGTGTGTGTGTGTGTGTGTGTGTGTGTGTGTGTGTGTGTGTGTGTGTGTGTGTGTGTGTGTGTGTGTGTGTGTGTGTGTGTGTGTGTGTGTGCTGGAATTCCAGACACAGATCGGTAGTGTGGTGTGTGCCATATAAGAGCTAGAAGCTGCAGGACGTCCCACACACACACACACACACACACACACACACACACACACACACACACACACACACACACACACACACACACACAAGCTGCGTCTGCTTAATGTAAAAGAGGAGCCGTCCAGAACTAGAGAGAAAAAGGCTGTAGTGACCGACAGTGTGTGTGTGTGTGTGTGTGTGTGTGTGTGTGTGTGTGTGTGTGTGTGTGTGTGTGTGTGTGTGTGTGTGTGTGTGTGTGTGTGTGTGTGTGTGTGTGTGTGTGTGTGTGTGTGTGTGTGTGTGTGTTTAGCAGGGATTTGCAGCGTTCCAACAATGATCAGTAGCGTTAACAGGTCTGTCCCTTTGGACTCTGCAGTATAAACTGTTTACACACACACACACACACACACACACACACACACACACACACACACACACACACACACACACACACACACACACACACACACACACACACTTCTGTATGCCAAACTACTGAGACTTGGAGGGTGGCTCTGTATTATCTGTTACATTTACTTTTACTTCCCTTAAAGGGGACCTATCATGCAAAATGCACTTTTGTACGTCTTTTATACATGAATATGTGTCCCCGGTGTTCCAGGGAACTCACCAAGTGTCAGAAAACACAACCCTCTCTATTTTCCTCCATACCCAAATCTCTAAAAAAGGGGCTGCAACGGATCTGATAAAAACTGATCCAGATTTGAACACTGTCCTGACGTCAGGACGGTGGCGCTACGGCTATTGGGCCAACTCCACCAATCAGGAGGAGACAGCCACGGACATTGCCGTTCGAAAGCGCTGGAGACGCTGTAGTACATATGCCAGGCCTGTAGATGGTGCTGTTCTCACTGAATCTGCCCTTGCAAAAACAGAGCTAACATTTTTCAAATTGAGCAAAATGAGGCATGGCTAAAATGCATGATCTGTTTGGTATTTTGAAAAAAAAAAGTATAAATATGCCTTATATAGGTATGGTCCTACACTATATCATTCAAATATAGCATGATAGGTCCACTTTAAGTTGTTTTTTAAACACAGCTGTGTCCTATTTTATTTATGATATGTATATTACAAAGTATGTGCATGCATCTTATTCAGACATACTTTTATATTTTTTAATAATTACGTCATGCATACAACACAGAAGCACCTTTCAACATTAACACGTGTGGAGGAAATTCTTCAGCGAAACTTTACACTTCCTTTGCCCTCCTGTGATGTGCATCCTTAACACAAGTCTCTGTGAGAGTCAACCAGACTCAGAGGATTTGAGGTACATTATAGTCAGTAGAAAACCCCCATCACGTGCTAACCCTGTGAAAACAGTCCTAAAGTGTAACTGATCATTGTCTTCATAGTAATTGGATCCAAGTAAATCCATAGCAGCTTTCTTTTGATGTAAACTTGTCACAAACGAGCTGAGGACCAAAATGCAACACACGCGAAACCAGGGATAGTCGGTAACCAGCTTTATTGAAGGCAATAAACTGGTAGGAGACGAAAAGGCAGGTAGTAGGCAAAGGGCTGGTCGGGGACAGGCGAGGGTTCCAGGAGAAGGCAAGACGGGAGTCACAGGTGCAGACCGGGTCAGGGAGCAGGCGTGGCAGAATAGTCCGGGTACAGGCAGGGTCAGGAATCAGGCGAGGCAGGCTGGTCAGGGACAGGCTGGGTCGGAACCGGGAGAGCAATCTGGTAAGTAATGCGGGAAAGACTGGCATGCTGCAAAGTACGATCTGGCACTGAGGTGAGAGTGAAGTGGGCCTATATACTACTGGAGCTGATGGGTGTAACAGATTGAGAGAGAGAGACAGGGTGTGGCTACCAGGTGACTAAGGAATGTTAATGCAGAAAATAGGTGAGTGAGAAAGCAGACTGTGACAAAACTATTGATCAGCTGTTCGGAAATGTATAATACAAATTAAATTGTAGTGTATATATATAAAGTGTATTATTAATCTAGAAGAGTAACATTTGATCACCCTTTTCTATCATGTACAATATGAACCTATCAGCATGATATCAGACCAATAACATCTGGTTTAGTTTGAGCAGTTTCCTCCCATAATCACAAACCATCTTCAAAGTGACGAGTGCAAACGCGACGACTGAACATGGCAGTTTGGACGTACATTGGAGTTCTCTGGTTACAAATACTCAAATCTGGTACTTCAAAATAAAAATTCACATTCTTGAAATGTGTTTTAAAAAATCAGCACCACTCAGGCAAAAGAGGACACATACAAAAAATACTAGTTAACAGTGTAAAAGGCGATCAGAGTATAAGACTATATGTTTGAAATGATTATATGATCATTTGACACGACAACACTGTCCAAAAATTAAGAAAAAACTATTTTTTAATTGAACAATAATTGTATTTTCTAAATATCAGTACAAGGGTTTAGTTGAGCCATAAAAGGAGCTCTGTTAGCTCATCGTGTATGAACATAAGTAAATGCTCTCAGTTAAGGATAACTGAATTCCTAATTGACATGCAATGGAAACTTTGTGGAGGGAGTCCTTGTTGACTTCTTCTGTTGGGTGGGCTTACAAAGATACCTCATCACTGTAGTGCACGGTGATGAACTCAGGTAGTGTTTGATGACCTCTGTTTGCGAGATGTTTTAATGAGATTTAACGTAACCCGTCTGTTTTCTTCCCCAGTTTGGTCACCAAGGTGTGCCACAGCTGTTTCCGGCACCAGGCCGACCTCCACCGATGTGCTCAGTGCAAATTCGCCCATTACTGCGACCGCACCTGTCAGACCGCGTGCTGGAGCGAACACAAACACGAGTGTGGAGCCATCAGGAAGACCGGGAAGGCTCCGAGTGAGAGCGTGCGGTAAGGAGAACAGATGTTGATTTACTTCAAGGAATATGCTTGAAGAATATGGAGGGTGGTTGGTTCAAGAAGTACATTCACAAGCTACCCTGCAGTATACAAAGTCATTCAAACTAGCTGCACCTTTACCAGCTTTGAGAACACTTTCATGATCAATCATTATAAAACATATCATATATATTATTCTGAAATGGACCAATCTGCACAATGACTACTTTTATTGTCGCTACTTTCACTATATTTTGACGATAATACTTTTCTACTTTCACTTGAGGAACATTTTTGAATGCAGGACTTTTACTGTAACAGAGTATTCCTACACTCTGGTACTTGTACTTTTATTCAAGTACAAGATCTGAGTATTTCTCCCAAAGTAGTGGTCAGGTACTCTTTAAAACAGATGGTGGTTATGGGTACTTTTTACTTAAAGTGGACCTATCATGCTATATTTGAATAATATAGTGTAGGACCATACCTATATAAGGCATATTTATACTTTTTTTTTTTCAAAATACCAAACAGATCATGCATTTTAGCCATGCCTCATTTTGCTCAATTTGACAATTTCTAGCTCTGTTTGTGCAAGGGCTGATTCAGTGAGAACAGCACCACCTACAGGCCTGGCATATGTACTCCAGCGCTATCGAACGGCAATGGCCGTGGCAGTCTCCTCCTGATTGGTGGAGTTGGCCCAATAGCCGTAGCGCCACCGTCCTGACGTCAGGACAGTGTTCAAATCTGGATCAGTTTTTATCAGATCCGTTGCAGCCCCTTTTTTAGAGATTTGGGTATGGAGGAAAATAGAGAGGGTTGTGTTTTCTGACACTTGGTGAGTTCCCTGGAACACCGGGGACACATATTCATGTATAAAAGACGTACAAAAGTGCATTTTGCATGATAGGTCGCCTTTAAGTACATTTCAAAGCCCATACTTCTTTAATTTTACTTGAGTCAGTACTTCTACTGTATTTTTAAACACGAGTATCTGTACTTCTACTTGAGTAACGGATGTGTGTACTTTTGCCATCTCTGATGTTAATTGACTTGATTGACATGTTTTAACGTGACAGTGATTCCTCTCCCTGCAGTCTGGCTGCTCGTGTGCTGTGGCGCGTGCACAAGGACACGGGCATAGTGTCCGACAGTCAGCTGATCTCCGTGGATCAGCTGAAGGATCATGTGACCGACCTGCCTGAAGAGGGCCTGAAGCAGCTGCAGACCGACGTGCTCACCTTCTTTGCTTATTGGTCTCATGGAAGAAAGCAGCACTCTGTGGAGTACATCTCCAAACTCTTTGGCATTGTAAGAATGGCTCATTTTCAGAGGTGGGAAGTAACTAAGTAGATTTACTTAAGTACTATTTTGAGGTACTTGACTTGAGTATTTCCATTTTAAACTACTTTGTACTTCTACTCCACTACAGTTCAGAGGTACATGGTGTACTTCTACCCCACTACATGTATTGAATACCTTTAGTTACTTCACAGATCTGGATGAATGATGTGAAATATAATCAAGTGTTAAATCAGACTTTAGTTCCACCTGGAGTAAATCCACAAGCTACCCTGCAGTATACAAAGTCATTCAAACTAGCTGCACCTTTACCAGCTTTGAGAACACTTTCATGATCAATCATTATAAAACATATCATATATATTATTCTGAAATGGACCAATCTGCACAATGACTACTTTTACTGTCGCTACTTTCACTATATTTTGATGAGAATACTTTTATACTTTTACTTGAGGAACATTTTGAATGCAGGACTTTTACTGTAACAGAGTATTCCTACACTCTGGTACTTCTACTTTTACTCAAGTACAAGATCTGAGTACTTCTACTTTGACTCAAGTACAATATCTGAGTACTTCTACTTTTACTCAAGTACAAGATCTGAGTACTTCTACCTCTGCTCATTTTGCATTGCTATTTGTAAAGAAAAGACTGCTTTAGAAATAAACCTGTGTGTGTGTGTGTGTGTGTGTGTGTGTGTGTGTGTGTGTGTGTGTGTGTGTGTGTGTGTGTGTGTGTGTGTGTGTGTGTGTGTGTGTGTGTGTGTGTGTGTGTGTGTGTGTGTGTGTGTGTGTGTGTGTGTGTGTGTGTGTGTGTGTGTGTGTGTGTGTGTGTGTGTGTGTGTGTGTAGATCAAGTGTAATGGCTTCACGCTGAGTGACCAAAGAGGCCTTCAGGCTGTGGGTGTGGGTCTTTTCCCAAACCTCTGTCTGGTGAACCATGACTGTTGGCCCAACTGCACCGTCATCCTCAACCACGGCAAGTAGGTATCCATCTGATCTCTCTGTAGTTATTATCTTATAATAAAACTATATTTTATGCACCGTAATTATTTATTGATGCTTCTTGTTGCTTTGTGTTGCAGCCAATCAGCGCTGAGCTCTGCCCTCCACTCTCAGAGGAGGTACGTATTACATCTGATATACTTTTTGCACTACTTTTTATTTTGTATTTTATTATATATGTTGCATTGTTGGAGGAGCTCAGGTCAGAAGAATTTCATTGCCATTTCTACACTGTAGCTTTGTGCATATGACAATAAAACCTTTGAATCTTGATCAGCCCTCAGTGTGGTTTTAAATGGCTGAACGTGTGTGTGCTAAATGCTCAAAACTAGACAGAAGTATAAGACAAAGTATGACCAGAGCAAGACTGTTTCATGACCACTAAAACAGCGTATATAGTCATGACATTTAATCATCTTTTAAGTGCAACATAATGATGTCAATTAATGTCCATAGTCCCTGATAAATACACATGGTCATTAACTTTCTTACCAAGACTTAGATGAGATCCTTGGTATCCTTCATGTTAGATGCTCGAGTCAACCGCTTAGCTTAGACAGGAAACAGGAGGATCGGATCATGGAGACTAGCCTGCTGTTAGCGGCTGAAACCGGTCAGCTCTGTGCGTCTGATCATCGTCTTGAAATTAAGTCATAAATTAACAACTAACTGACACAATATTGGGATTGGAGAGGTAGCAAAAAGCTGCTATCAGATCCAGAAAACGCTTCTCTTCTGTCCCAGGATCGAGCTGCGAGCTGTGGGGAAGATCTCCGAGGGTGAGGAGCTGACCGTGAGCTACGTGGACTTCCTCAACCTGTCTGCTGACCGCCAGAAGAGCCTGAGGGAGAGTTTCCACTTTGAGTGCACCTGCCAACACTGCAGCGAGAAGATCAGTGACGACCTGATGACTGCCACCGCAGAGAAGGACGGAAGCAAAGTCTGTTTAACATCAAATCAAATCAAACTTTATTTGTATAGCCCAATATCACAAAACACGTTTGTCTCAGTGGGCCATTCTTTGTTCTTTTGGCATTTCTTTGGCAGCATTACAGCAACATGATAAAAGTCTCACCAAATACAGAATCCTTTCCACTTCTCTATTTACCTTTTTGAGATCCTGTGTATTGATGTGTGTGTTGTGTCTCTCTCTCAGCCGTCTGCTGATAAGGTGAAGGAGATCATCGCCCTCAGTAAGGAGTATCTGGAGAGGATTGATATTGCCCGTATTGATCGGGACTATCATAAGGTACGCCACTTAAATCCTGGATTTCTTTTTGTTGGGAACATACTGAATGTCCTCTTCCAATATGAGAGTAGCATGATAACAAAGGTATCCCAACTGTAGCTGTGAACATGACAGGATGTATGATTACCTAGAAGAGCATCAGGACTGTTTGAGGCATATGATAGCTATGTGATTAACATGATGATTCAGCCTCTATGGAGATAGACATATGACAAGCATGATCATTTCTGACGTGGAGCTAATCTGAAGTAAACATTGAATACTGCTTTCTATTCCTCCATCTTGTGACTGTGTAACTCCCTCTCTTGGATATCAGCATGTGAAGGACACTGTTCAGGAACTAGTTGATGCTCTGTATGTGATGACTACTTCCATTCTGGAGAGTCAGGATTTTGAGATTTTGAGTAAAAAGTCAGAATTTTGAGAAAAAGTCCGGATTTTGAGAAAAAGTCCGGATTTGGAGAAAAAGTCAGAATTTTGAGAGAAAGTCAGAATTTTGAGAAAAAGTCCGGATTTTGAGAGAAAGTCAGAATTTTGAGATTTTTTAGAAAACGTCAGAATTTTTAGAAAACGTCAGAATTTTTAGAAAAGCTCAGATTTTGAGATTTTGAGAAAAAGTCAGAATTTTTTGATTTTGAGAAAAAGTCCGAATTTTGAGATTTTGAAAAAATACATAATTTTGAGAAAGTAAAAAAAAATGATTTTGAGAAAAAAGTCTGAATTTTGAGAGAAAGTTAAAAAAATAATGATTTTAAGAAAAAAATCTGAATTTTGAGATTTTGAGAAAAAATACATAATTTTGAGAGAAAGTCCGAATTTAGAGATTTTGAGAAAATGTCTGAATTTTGAGAGAAAATCTGAATTTTGAGAGAAAACTCAGTGTTTTGTACATGAAAGGATGTATCCTCCATCTTGTGACTGTGTAACTCCCTCTCTTGGATATCAGCATGTGAAGGACACTGTTCAGGAACTAGTTGATGCTCTGTATGTGATGACTACTTCCATTCTGGAGAGGATCACAAATACATGGATCCTGAGATTGAAGCTCAATGACCAGTGAGATTTTTCCTCTTATGTCTTTCACATAATGCTTCACCATCTTCCTGGTTACTGTGTTGTCTCCCAGGTGGTGACCTTGTGCTGTGACTGTCTGGAGAAGCAGGAGAACGTGTTGGCCGACACTAACCTGTTGAAGCTGCGTGTGTTCAGCATCACCAGTGAGGTGCTCTCTTTCCTGCGCAACTTCTCCGAGGCTGCAGACTACGCCCGCCGGATGGTGGAGGGATACACGTGAGTAACTATAACTCAACACAACCATGATTACACTGAAGACACCAGGCATCAGTCTGTCAGCTCATAGAGTCCTATTGTGAACCCCAGAGATGGCAAAAGTACACACATCCTTTACTCATGTAGAAGTACAGATACTCGTGTTTAAAAATACTGTGGTAAAAGTAGAAGTACTGACTAAACTTCTTTACTCAAGTAAAAGTAAAGAGGGCTTTGAAATGTACTTCAGTAAAAAGTACCCATAACTAGCAGCTGTTTTAAAGAGTACCTGACCTCCCTTTATATTAATAGAACAATAATGTCATTGTTAGCTAATGAATGTTTCCATGCTGAACAACGGCAACATGACAACGTTTTCATTGGTCCCTCTTCTTTAGAGAAGACCAGGAAATGATGGATACACGGATCGTGTTCAAATCAATAGGCACGCAATGACTCTAAATAATAATGATCACGCCACCAGACACACATTCAAACTAAAGGAACCAGCCTGTTTGGAAAATGTGAGGAGTAGAAAGTACAGGTATTTGGGTTCAACATGTAAGAAGTAGAAAGTACAGGTATTTGTGTTCAAAATGTGAGGAGTAGAAAGTACAGGTATTTGTGTTCAACATGTAAGAAGTAGAAAGTACAGGTATTTGTGTTCAACATGTAAGAAGTAGAAAGTACAGGTATTTGAGTTCAACATGTAAGAAGTAGAAAGTACAGGTATTTGTGTTCAACATGTAAGAAGTAGCAAAGTACAGTGTATTTGGGTTAAAAATGTAAGAAGTAGAAAGTACAGGTATTTGTGTTCAACATGTAAGAAGTAGAAAGTACAGGTATTTGTGTTCAACATGTAAGAAGTAGAAAGTACAGGTATTTGGGTTCAACATGTAAGAAGTAGAAAGTACAGGTATTTTGTTCAACATGTAAGAAGTAGAAAGTACAGGTATTTGGGTTCAACATGTAAGAAGTAGAAAGTACAGGGTATTTGTGTTCAACATGTAAGAAGTAGAAAGTACAGGTATTTGAGTTCAACATGTAAGAAGTAGAAAGTACAGGTATTTGTGTTCAACATGTAAGAAGTAGAAAGTACAGGTATTTGGGTTAAAAATGCAAGAAGTAGAAAGTACAGGTATTTGTGTTCAACATGTAAGAAGTAGAAAGTACAGGTATTTGTGTTCAACATGTAAGAAGTAGAAAGTACAGGTATTTGGGTGTCAACCATGTAAGAAGTAGAAAGTCCAGGTATTTGTGGGGGGTTTTTCAACATGTAAGAAGTAGAAAGTACAGGTATTTGGGTTGGTCCAACATGTAAGAAGTCGAGAAGTACAGGTATTTGTGTTCAAAATGTAAGAAGTAGAACATACAGGTATTTGGGTTCAAAATGTAAAGAAGTATAAAGTAAAGGTATTGGGTTCAAAAATGTAAAGAAGTAGAAAGTACAGGTATTTGTGTTCAACATGTAAGAAGTAGAAAGTACAGGTATTTGTGTTCAACATGTAAGAAGTAGAAAGTACAGGTATTTGTGTTCAACATGTAAGAAGTAGAAAGTACAGGTATTTGTGTTCAACATGTAAGAAGTAGAAAGTACAGGTATTTGTGTTCAACATGTAAGAAGTAGAAAGTACAGGTATTTGGGTTCAAAATGTAAGAAGTAGAAAGTACAGGTATTTGGGTTCAAAATGTAAGAAGTAGAAAGTACAGGTATTTGTGTTCAACATGTAAGAAGTAGAAAGTACAGGTATTTGTGTTCAACATGTAAGAAGTAGAAAGTACAGGTATTTGTGTTCAACATGTAAGAAGTAGA